AAACAGGGCTGCCTTCAGAGCAGAATCTGTTGGAGGGAGTCTGTTGGACTCCTAGAAAAGATTGCTGCATATATAGCAATTACCAGTGCTTTTTTTTCTTTAAAAAAATGTTTAGAGGTATTCTCATTTTGACTCAAGAAAATCACCATTTTATAGTTCAAATCGGGGGAAATAAATACAGTAAATGGGCAAAAGTGCAAAGATTCACAAAATGTTTAGGGGTATGCGTACCCTTGCGTCCCCCCAGAAAAAAAGCACTGGCAATGGCTTGTTCACATGATCTTAAGAGAGTGAACATCACCTGTCTTAATGGATACAGGCAATCAAGTGATGAATATGCATATACAAAGCAGTCCTATTGCTAGCCTGATTTCAGCAGCTTCTCTTCATTCCCATCAGCATTAAGTGATTCTTTTGTTTCAGATTGTTAATAGAGCCCCCCCTCCCACACAATATAAACTGGATTCTCTTCCTGCTGCTGCCGCTCTGAAAATTTAACTTGCTTAGAAGGGACTACCCACAGGCGTCTGCCTCTATTTCTCAAGGTCCATTAGATTTTGAACAGCTTTGTCTGGAAGCCTGGAGTTCTTTTTTCCTCCCTTGCTAAAAATGCCTCTGATCAGGTCTGAGCTTTTTTATATTCATTCACGTTTGTGCTTTCTGAAAGGGAAGTAGATGGATCAACCAATAGTAAAAAGAAAAGAGAAACCCGAAGCTTTCCGCTGCATAAACTGACCTGTATCTAAACACAGAGATTTAAAACAACTCTGGAACAAAGAAACGTAACAGCTACGGGGCAGATTGCGCATCGTAGTTCAGTGCATCTCATTCACTTCACACGAAGGCTAAGCTTCGTTCAGGAAGAACGATTCAGACCCTCTCAAAAGCTGCAAGTGCCTTAAAGAGTCGAACGTTCATTAGAACAAAACTTCATTTGTTCTCTCCTTCCTTGCAAACATTTGACATAGAATTAGACTTGGTCATGTTTTCAAGGTTTCCCCTCAATGCTTTATATTCAGTAGACAAGCAGCTTCAATCAACACCATGCTGAAAGTGTCTAATAACGTGTAGTGGCATAGTGAGGAGACATGAGGGTCAGCCTCAAATAGCAAACACCTAACTCGGCCCAGTGTTCCTTTGGAGAAGCAGATGAAAGAAGCACTTGTATGCCCATCTGTAGGATCTAGTGGATACCGTGAGTCAAGGACTGATTCCCTCAGAGGTTATTTGTCAAATATAGGGATTTTTATGGGCCTGTGACAGAATCCAGATTCAACTATTGGGACTCAAAACTCACTCCAAACTTTGAATGGCTTAGTCCCTTGGATTATGCTATTCACCATCAAAGATATCTTGATTGCAGTCTTTGTGGCCACACAATTTTAGAATTAGGCATATAAATCATTTCATTGGTGCCAAAACTAATTTCTAAGACTCTGGAACATGGAAGAGTTCCCTCCCTGGCCATGAATTCTCCCCAGAAAGGGCTATAGGAATGTGCTTACAATTCCCACAAATTCTTTGGCAATCACTCGTAGCTGTATCTTCCATAAGATTGTCTTCCATAAACACGGTTTTAACAATGAGTCCGTAAATGACTGTGGAGGCCAATTCTGGATCCACACGTCCTTCCACAGTGGGGACATTGGTTTCCCAGCGGGAGTTCATCACAGTGTGGATTTGGCAAGCGTGCCTTCCTCTTAGCACGTTTCTCCCTTGCGTCCTGAGTTCAAGTGTCTTCAAAGCCCATGATATCTTTGGTAAAGGCTGTTCTCCAACTGGTGCGCTCACAGGCCAGTGTTTCCCAGTTGTCAGTGTTTATACTATATTTTTTAAGACACTTTTGTACAGTAGTTCAGAGCACTGTAGCATCATCAATGTGATTAAACAGAGGATGTGGATTGTCAATTCAGTTTCAGCACAAGAACCAAGCACCACACAGGATGAGCACTTCCATGTGGCAAGCCCTTCCCCCTTCTTAATCTATTGTTACACACCCACTATAAACCTTGCACACAATCCTTGATTTTCTAAAGCTGCCTGCTCAAGTGTGAATCCTAGGAAATATGGATCTCAAAGTAACAACCACCTTTTCCTTTGTGTGGAAATAACTAGTTTGAGGTGCTCATCAAATGCAGCTAATTATCCCTTGCCAGAACGTCTGCCCATCCCTTAAGATAATGGCACATGTGAATCTTTTTTTGGATGGGGGGTGAAACCTGCTAGTCTATGAAGGAGATACAGTGAAAAAGTATTTTTTAACAGATTACATTTAGCTTCAAAGGAAGGACTGTCAATGCTCACCTGACCAATGTCTTAACATTAATTGACCCTAAATTGGCCTCAAATCAACTCATCTCACAGTATGCCTCTGAGCACCAAGTTGGAACGGACCCTCAAGCCACTTGTAAAAACTCCACAGCAGAGCACCCTCCAGATACAGCGGTGGTGGAAAAGTATTGCTTCTTCACAGCCACGGAGCTATGAGTTGTGTGATCAGATTCACAACTTGCTGCCTGCCACTTACATTTTGCCCATCGTCCCTACTTTTCATTTTCCCTCGCTTTCTAGTAAACCAGGGTGAGTGGGCTCAACAGGACGGCGGCCAATTGTGCCATTCAAAAGTGGTCTTCAGTCCCCTAGAACAGAGGTGAGGAAGCGCCGGCCTCCAAGCCTCTTAAGTTGCCCTCAGGACTCTCCCTTCTAGGCCACACACTTCACTGCTCCTGCTTCACACCCTCCTTGAATGCTTTTGCCCAGCTGGAACTCGTCCTTGCATGCCTAGATGGGAGGACAGAGAAGGGTGTTCAAATGTAAAATGCACATTAGCTCCTCCAACCACTTTTGCTTCTCCTCCCTGCCACCAGCACTGGCCTTTGGCCACTGGAGGGTTGCCCAGAAGTCAAGGTGCCCTATGGTTGGGGGGAGGAAATTCCCCATTCCTCCCCCACAGCAACTAGGACTTCAGCAAGAGCTACAGCCCATGACAAATGCAAGCTCTCCAAAAGCAGACAGGAAGGCTTCAGATTCCTTAAGCCTCTGGGGGAAGACCATTCCAGTAGGTCCACTGCCCCTAAGGAAGGAAATTGCTGAAGCAAGTCTACATCTCTACAGGATGTGGGTTGACCAGGCATAGGAAAACTCCAGCCCTCCAGATTTTTAGGACTACAATTCCCATCATCCCTAGCTAACAGGACCAGTGGTCAGGGATGATGGGAATTGTAGTCCCAAACATCTGGAGGGCCGGAGTTTGCCTATGCCTGGGTTTGACTATGACGAGGGATTCCACAAAAACCCTCCCAGATCCAGACCATCCCAGTGTAAGAGAGGCAATTTTGTCAGCAGGACTTTGCCGTTCAGGGATGAGAAAAGCTTTATGTGCCCAAGTTTCCTCTTCTACATAATCATTAATAAAACAGCAGCTCTGCCATCCTCTGCATCCAGCCATTCCACTTAATTCATCTGTCAGAAAAAGAAGCAAAGTGAAGCAAAGAAGAACAAAAGCAAGTAAGTGGTACGGAAATTAGGGCTTGAGAGGAGTATTTCTGCAAGGCCTCTTGGCAGATTTTGATACGCAGCTTGAACTGTCAAGATATATAGAGATGCCTTCGCTTGTCTTCATCTTGAGCAGAAAATTGCAAGCAGTTCTGGATAAGAAGGGAAACAGGTCATGACCAGAGTCCCAAAACATGTGCCCACTTAACTGTGGCTTAGCTAATGAGCTTCATTGCCACACAGGCACAGATCTAACTCAATTTTGCCCGTTACCAGCTCATTCAACACATCACTCATTCGTTTTATTTGTATGCCACTTTTCTGCAAAAAAATAATAATCATATTCCAAGCGGCTTATGACAAAGAAAGCAGGAATACATGTTACAACAATTTCGTAATAATGTAGCAAAACAACAGTGAATATGGTAACATACAAAAAAACAAAAAAACCCACATTACTTAAGCAACAAGCAGCATCCATTAGCAAAGGAGAGTTGCAGTTTCATCTTAGTCCCAGAAACACCTCTCCCATGATATTGCTCAGTGTCCATCTCCTGTAGCCGCTTGCAAAGGCAAGGTGTGGAGTAGCTGGAGACAACCCTCCCATAAAGTTCATCTGATCAGTTTCAAAACTGCAGCCTACATATGGCAGAAAGATCCTGCTGAAGCTCACTGCCCCAGACTCAAAATATACTGAGTACCATTCCCTGAACAAAACTACTACAGTGGTACCTCGGGTTACATACACTTCAGGTTACATACGCTTCAGGTTACAGACTCCGCTAACCCAGAAATATTACCTCGGGTTAAGAATTTTGCTTCAGGATGAGAACAGAAATCATGCTCTGGCGGCATGGCAGCAGCGGGAGGCCCCAGTAGCTAAAGTGGTGCTTCAGGTTAAGAACAGTTTCAGGTTAAGAACGGACCTCCAGAACGAATTAAGTACTTAACCCGAGGTACCACTGTACCAAAAAAAATCAATGAACCTAGCAAATCAACCTAACTATCCTAACTATTCAACTTTGGACTCAGTAGAATTTGAATGTGTATAGTAAAAGAACAAGCATATCAACAAACTTCTGGGACAATTTGTTATTGTTGGCAAATTCAATAATGATAATGGTACAATTGTGGTAATGTGCTAATTATGTAAAGCAAGAGACTGTAAACAAAACAAAAAACCCTTTGAGAGAAAAACATTACAGAGGCATCTCAAGTCAATATAGAGCGGACTGTAAAGCATCAACTAATGGTGATTTTGAGATCTTCGGTGCATCATTTTAGAGCAGGATGCAGCAATATTGACATTCCAATATAGGGGACTGGTCAAGAATGAAGATCAGGGCTGCTTTTGACAGCATAGACAAGCAACAACATTATTTCATTTTCCTTTGACTAAAATGGGATAATACACCACTCCATGCAGTGGAAACCATAAAGTACACGGAACACCACATATAAAAGGAGAGGAACATGTAATTTAACACAATGACCACAGAACACGATTTTATAAAAAGACAATTTATTTTCAATGTAAAAAACACATTACACAGCATTGTTTAACTGTTCAACTCATATCTTCCAAAGCCATGCTGAACACATTTCTTTAAAAGCTTCCAGAGCTGTGCCTAAAACCTTTCTTCAAAATCAACCAAAAAGATTTCCTGTCCTTTAAGAAAGATGCTTTTGAAATGTTACCCAATTCGTGTTCCAAATGTCCTGAATTCCCAACTGTGAGCTAGAAGCATGGAAAGAGACAAATCAGGATTGACAGGAGCCCTTAGAATGTTTGACTGTTGATTCCATGACTGCAACTCTGACAAATACTGTTGAACACCTAACTGAATCCCATGCAACTTCTTCTCCACAGAGATACCAGAGAGAGTTAACACAAAACAGAAGCAACAAATATTTTCTGGAGAGACAGAAGAGCTACTTTTTAAAAAGAGGAACAATATAAAATTGGCACAATTGGAAGGAGACTCTGGAGTGGTACTACTTCAAGGTATACTTAAGTACAAGGGAGAAAGCATAATCCCAAATCAAAAGGAGCAGTTGAACCTATCAGCCAGATTTGTTTAGAAGAAAAATAGCTCCCCACCCTCTGGTCTAAGAAGCTTGGGCAACAACTTGAGAGAACCTTGCTATGAAAGGCAGGGAATCCCTGAACCAAAATAACCCTGAGTTTCTTTCCATGGAGAGGCAAAGTGTGCAATAAGTGTTCAAAGAAAATTAAACTTTCCTGGGCTAAGCCATTTCATAATTATTGCATTTAAATGTTTTTGTTTATCCCTCAAAATGTGAGAACAGAAAGACTCAAGACACAATATGCATGGAAGGATAATTTGTGCTTTAGACAACTGCTTCTGCTCCACTTTAAAAAAGAAAGAAACAAGTCTTACAATATGGAGAATGCAACTAAAACATTAGCTTGCAATATGAAAGATTAAGACATAGGATTTGTCTAGATGGGTGGGATGTCGGATTAAATATAAGCCACCTGGGGCAATGTTCTAAATGTCAAGTGCAAAAATGGTTTGCCACAGAGAAGGCCCCAAAGGGGCAGATTACCATGGTCAGCCAACCAGAACTCTCATATTTACTAAGCCTTCTGGAGGACTCTAGCCATGTTGACTCCATACAACTTTAAAGTTTGCTGATTTCCAGTGGGTTCCTGCAGCTCTCAAGGAACCTTTCAGGAATCTGAGTTTGGACACCCCAGAATTAAAGCTTGCAAACCTAGCAATATGCACAATCTTACACTGGAGTCAATGCAGGCTGAAACTGGTGATTTGTGAACACCATTTGTGCCTTCAGATGAATGTGCTAATTTGCTGTTGACACACATTACATCCTGCATGCCTCCTTGTGTATGTGGACAATCGCCATTCAACTTGTATTAACCAGTTTACTCTGCAGGTCAACTTCACCTCCAAGTACAATAGAGTAGAATGACAATTTGCTCTTTGAATGGACATTCAGTCTTAGGCTTGACTCAAGTCACACATGTTTAATGCCTAAAGTTTTCTGGAAAATGCCTCTGTTCTGAATTCTTATTGCTTAGATATGCTGGCTGTGCTGGAAGATTTAGATGCCTTAAGTCACAGGGGCAGCTCCTTGGATAAGGGATAAAGGTATGTGGAAGACAAGATCTAGATCTCTCTACTTTAGCACCAGAGATCCCCATCATGATCATTTATCCTAGTGTGTCAGCAAAGGATATGCTGCACTATGCGGCATGCACAAGGGAATCCAGAAAAGGAGCACTATCCCCCACGTATATCCACTATATTCCTCCCTCCCTCCTGACCCCTACCCTGAGTTACAACTGCAGACACTGATCAATGCCAAAGTCTACTTGGTGGCTGCAAAACCAATTGTGTAAGTTCCCCAATAACAAGCTGCAGATCTAGACCCTTGTTCACTGATCTGCAGGGGTCTTTGTCATGGTGCACCTTAATCTGTCATGGCACACTGCTCTCTGTGACTTTTTTCTACTTGCCCCGAGTCAGGAATGTTTGAGCAAGGAGGATTCTGCCTCAATTTCAGACCTTCTGGTCCTTGAGTTAGGTAGACCTGTGATCCACCTAAGAACATCTAGCAGTCTCTATCCAGTTTCTAGAGGTGACATGTTCGTTATGAAAAAAAAATCACCAGCACAGTGAGCAGAAGTGGAAAAAGTGGTGGCACTTCATGTTGAGGCTCTTAGGAATATGCAGGGCACAGAAGCTCAAGCCCCTCTTATCAGTATGATAATAGTGGGCACAATATGAAGCACAGTGGGAGGCAGGGCACTGTAAGAAAAGGTTTGTATTGCTGCCTACTTCCTTTGCAGGGCTGCTAAACCAGCACTATAAAAAAAGAAAAAGACTTCAGAAACTACAATCCAAGTTTTAGTTTTGGATGAATTCCAATCCCACCAACAGCAGACAAGAGGATTTCCTCGCCAGATTCTGTCCGGAGTAAGGGAACCTGTTCTCTCTTCTCTAGGGATCAGCTAGTTATAAAGGAAGACATTTATTGCCTCTGAGCTCTTTCAATTCCATCTTCCTATTAAACAACAAGGGGAAACGTTTTAAACACAAGCCTTGATAGTGAGTCTTAGCTAAAGGTCTGCAGGAAGCACACTGTGGAACAGTTTGCCTGTGGGGGGGAAAGAACTATCCCTCAAAAAGTGCCACTTGAAGAAGAGCTCAATGCTGACAAACACTACTTGTGCTCTAAATGTGTAACACTGGTAAAAGGAGAAGTTCTATGTCCAGGAGAGAAGGTCAGACAATTGTTGTCAGGGCATTTTGGCTTGACACACTCAAGTCTGAGTAGCCTCAGGCCTTCCAAAATCCCCTCCCTCCCAAAATCGTGTGCATCCACCTCAACTTTGAAGCTCAGTCCATTTCCATAGACATAAGTCGGCGTCTCTCTCGTCGGGTTTCTTGAACTTCCTTCTTGCAACACCAACGGGAACTGCAGTAGCCAATCAGACAAGATAAGAGTCCAATGATTGTGGACAGGCCAATGCCAATCAACAGTGGGAATTTGAAAGCATTCAGCACTGAGGGTGAGGGAGAAAGAAGAAGAAATGTTATGCACAATCCAGAGAGAGTAAATGTTTCTTGCAAGTTAGAAAACGTATTCCTTTGCCATTTGTTACTTGCACCTGACCTGGACAGAGAAAGTAACAGAGATTCATAAGGATGTCAATGCAGTCCCAGGTCAATTTATAAAGATTAAAAATGTTAAGAGTACTGAAATAAATATTTGTCAGCTACTGTTATCTATGATTACGTAAACATCCCACCTTCCATTCTAAATTTTAAGAAAAAGAATCAAACACTGAGACTTGCCACCAGCAAATGTCCAGTTCAATCTATATTTAAAAGGCAACCAATTACCATGAAGGCCAGTAATCGAAACAACACTGTAAGCCAGCATAACATGGTGGCTTGGAATGAGCATCTGCCTGTAGAGTAAAATGTATGTTGCTTCAAACAACTCACATTCAACAGAAAAACAGCAGATTTCTGCAGACTAATTATACAAACTAGTTAAATAAAACAAATAGAAAACAGAGCAACTACTACTACAAGAAATCGAATTGCAAGCTATCATATTAGTGCGTTCTAGCAGTTTTGTCTGATTTTCCCTGGATCACCACAGTGATGCAAGAACGGGAAAACCCTCATGGGCAGTCATAAAAACCAATAGTGGTAGAAAGCATTATGTTGTTTGCCACTATGCTGAAAGACAAAGTATGTTGATTACTTCTCAATGACAACTGATAATGCTATATATAAACAAATTGGAGGCACTCTTACCATCCATTTTCACAGTTACAAGGATTGGCTTGGATTTGACCTCCATCTCCTGTTGCCAGATCCCTGCAGTTGACCGTACCCAGGGGGTTACTAAGCAGTAGTGGTTGCCAAAGTCCTGGTCTTCACAGCCATGAATCCTAAGACGGAATTCCATGGGGCTGATTCTTTCCAAGCTGACATCACTGCTTCCATTTCTTTTGGCCTGGGTGACTATCCCTTTCCGATCTAATGAAGCGAGGAAAACGGGGTCTCTGTCCATTGCGATCGAGTGCATGGCAAACCAAGAGACATCGAAGGACATGTCATCTGAATTGGGAAACACCAATGTAAAGGGTAGGTATCACTAAACACAACAGTCCCACGTAGGTACAGAGCTTCCTCTTGCCCTTCCCAGAGTCAAGTTTGCTAAACTGAAAAGCCTTAATTGCATCCAAGAATGAATGGTCTCCAATTTGTGGGTCCTTCTGAGCAATAGCCTCAACTCTAAGCTTGTCAGGAGCAGAAGGAAGGGCTAATGCAGGGGTCAGCAACCTTTTCCAGCTGTGGGCAGGTCCACCGCGCCTCAGACCATGTGGGGGGCCGGACTATTTGTTTTTTGGGGGGAGAACGAATTCCTATGCCCCCAAATAACCCAGAGATGCATTTTAAATAAAAGCACACATTCTACTCATGTAAAAACACGCTGATTCCCAGACCGTCCATGGGCTGGATTGAGAAGGCGATTGGGCCGCATCCAGCCCCCAGACCTTAGGTTGCCTACCCCTGGGCTAATGTGATTATTAGCAAAAGAAGCTCCATCTGCAGCAGTACATTTGGGGCAATACTACACAGTTATTCTGCTTCAGATTGATATTCTGCTTCAGACTGATGGGGAAGCAAGAACTCAGAGGGGCTGCATGAGACAGCCCTTCAACCTTTGTTAATCTCCAGCTACACTGCATTTAACTCCACTATATTCACTGCAATATCACATAGATATGATCTAAAACTGGTTTTGATGGCATCACCACAGTCCTCTTTTTCCAGTCTCTGTTCTCTAGCTTGAATTACTGCAAAGTTCTTTTTACCCATCATCTGGGTAAACTGCATAGTTCAAAAACTGAACCTGATATTCCCGTTATAAAAGGGCTGTTTTAAAGCATAATCCCCAATTCATATGTGATTACAAGATAGATTGCTGTATATGCTCCTATCTGAGATTTCTGGTTTTGCTTATTACAGGCCAGTATGTGTTCATTCTTGCATCATTTACCGTAGTTTTAAGATATGCTTGAACTGTTCTTTATGAGGACATGGGAAGAGAAGAGGAAAATGTAGCATTGCTTTAGGAAAGTATAGTAATGCTCATAGGAATATCCAACCTGTTTAAGGTGGAAGGGCAAGCTATTGCAACCTTCAAAACAAGACATCAAATCATGGGTTATGAAATGAAATCAGACAGCAGTATTCCCCTAAAACTGAGGTAATGTGAGTATAAGCAGGTTGCCTTGCAGACAGTAGAAACAAGTTTTTGTGACATTGCAAGGTTTGTTCCCTGTATGCATTGCCCCAGTTCAGCTCACCTACCTACCTATCTACTTTGCGTGGTGTGCCATTAGGAACAAAGGCCTCCAATTTCACTAACAGACTAATCTCTCTCAAGTGTCTTTGCACTGACTTCCACCTCTAACACTGGATGACAGGTAGTCAGAGTCCATCAGTATATCCTGCATTCTTCCCTCCAATGTGCAAGATTATACTAAATCCATTAGCAGATCTGCACTTTTAACCTCATTAGACTGGTAGCTGAGGATGCAGTTTAATCGTTGCAACTGTCTTCTAGTCCTAGTCTTCGGAGAGCTGGAAAGCAAGTGTAAGAACCATCACATACTACAAAGAATAGATTTACCGTAACTATGCCTGCTACAATATTGCTTGGGCTGTACCCTCAAAGCCAAAGTTCATTATGACAATCTTTGCATGAAGTGGATGTCAACTGATTACATTCATGATACCAAAAGGCAGTTGCCTCATCTGAAAAGAAGCATGATGCTTATCCATTTTTACTAGACTTGTGAAAGGTGCTTTACACATGAGGCTTAAGTACGTGTACATTTTTATATCTTTGTTAAATTTATATCCCATGTTCCTTTGTGCAATACTCAAGGTGGCTAGCAATAAAATAAATCATCTTAAAATTACACTCACACCACAATCTAAGAAGAGAAGTTGAAAATAGTCTATCAGCATCCAGTTACAATAATATCAACATGGAAGATGTACAAGGCTCTAGAAGAGTGTAATGAAAATTACAAAATTACAAAACCAAAATCAACAAAAGTTTCATTGGAGGAGGGGTGCAATTATGTACATCCTGGGTTTATTTGACTGCAAAACTACGCTTTTGTCTACAGGGAACAGTAGGGAATGCAAATCAAAGCTTCATCAAAAGCATAAAGATTACAGAGGCATTAAGACACAGACTGGGAGCCAGAAGGAGGCTCCCAGTCTATATATTGTAACTCATGAAAGTTACCCTGCCCACATGAAATACAAAATGCAGCCTAGAGAACTCTAGAAGTCTCTAGCTTGGTTTTTGCCACATTAAGATATTTTTTGCTGTTATTAGGTGCTGCCATTTGTCATAAGCTGTTTATTGATTGCCCTTGTGGAAATTATGTTATCCTGCCTTCTGTTGCAGATAAAAAGGTACCAGAAACAAGCATTATTCACAAGCTGTGCACCCTAATAGGATCATTTCTATTGGATAACCTGCATCATCTGTGCAGTCCATTCATCCGCTGTAGCTGAAGGGAAGCCAATTAAAAAAACCTTGCATATTTGTAGTTTGTCATGTGGACAGCCAATCCGAGAAACTGCCCAAGACCCAACATTAAGATGTCCAACAGATGGGAACAATCTATCTTCATCCAGATGGGTTATCAGAATCTCTGACCAGAGGGATGCGAATGTCCCAGATACCTTACTTTCAATCCCTAAAGCCATTCATTACCCACATATCTATCCATCTCATTCCCGGACTTCACATTTCTGACTAACTTGATCCAATTACACTAGAACACGCCAAGAGACTTAACTCCTAGGAAGAGGAGCATGTCTTAAGCTACTACCTATCTTTTCCACAGTTTCATTTTGCTTTCATGTCTCACGGCCCTGACATTAACCTTTGTAAATTTATAATACATGTGGACAATATTTCAGTAAATCTGGTGAATATTTTGTGAGTTGGGACAATACTGGGGATTGCAGAAGCAGCAATAAAAGCAGAAACAGTGGCAGAAGCAGGAATAAAAACATCAGTCAGAAGCAAGATGCAGTGGAATCTAACAGAAGTCCTGGTCGGATTTAATTTTTATACTAATGGACTTTAAAGAGAGATGGCTGTAGGCAGTTACTATTCTAAGATGTGAATAATATTTGTCACACTTTGGAGAAGCTCTTGTGGCATTTTTTGGGATAGAGAAAGATAGCATTTGGAACTGTGACAAATTAAGCCTTAAAACTGTGCACATGGGGCAAATTACAGTGCTAGGACACTTCCTTCCTGGAAGGAACTTTGAAGTGGATCAACATGTAAAGCACACAGTTATATGCACGTTTTGATTTGACATGCAAATCTAAACTCTCTGACCTTTTGTCAATTCCCTTGGTCAACCAGCCTTCAAGATTCTGAGTCCCATTCCCAGCCTATCTGCTTGGCACTGTGTACATTGGCTTGACAGAATAGAGCTCCTTAAGCCTTGCCGAATCTCAGTGTTGAGACCATTTGTATTTAACAAAAGAAAGCAAGGACATAGAGACTTCTCCTTGATTTTGTAATTCCCACAGTAGTGCTTACAAGTTGTAGTTGCAACATATTAAAGTCTTCTATTCAAATGCTTGTCCATAAAATATGAACTCTGCACACGGACCTATGGAAAAGCTAACCTAAAAACCTGTGGGCCTCCAGCTGTTGTTTGACTACAACTTCCATCCCCCGCCCCCCATCATGGGCTATGCCGGCTGAGGGTGAGGAGAGCTGGAGTCCAACAACATCACAACAGCCACAGGCGACTCACTCCTGCTTTCAGGGTGTATCTTCTCTACCAAGGACTTTAAGTCTACTACAGCAAAAATGAAAATAATAATGATTCTGTTTATCAGAAACCAAGTGCTAATGAAATATCTGTAGAGTTATGGCTCTAGTAATCCAACTTTTGTTGTGAAGTAACAGCAGGAAGTATGTACTGCTGAATGGTGGAAAATACAGGTGAGGCTCCATCCAGCACAGCCAAACTATCTGTACCTGTTAACTCTCTATACTCCGATGTAACTGAATGGGGTTGGTGATCACACAGACTAGTGACAGAACCAATCCCGAGGGAGTGGGGGAATGGGACATGAGAGACACAAACCACTTTCCTTTGGCCTGGATAGAAACAGCTCCAAACATGGCAGCTGTACTCCTGGTTCCTTCAGGGAACCTTAAACCAGAAGGCTGAAGAAGACTTATAACAGTAGACACGTTTGTGGTATATTTCTATAACGCAGCACTGTGCCAAGTGAATATTGCATGAATAGTTTGGTAGGAATACTTGAAGAATTTGACATTCGTGAATTCTGATACAAACTGGATCTGTAGTTCTCGGGTCATAAAAATTTCAAAGTATGTTTTGAGAGAAGGCATTTAGAAATATGTATACAAACACAATTCTTCGTTATTAACGAGGAAGAAGGATGTACTGGGCTTATGGGTGAACACATGCAAAAGTGATATGGACCAGAAATAGTCCAATTCACCCTTCCTTATTGTGGGAGTGATTAGCAACAAGGATATAAAGTTGCCTGTCAGATTGTAGGTTTTTGCCTTTTATTGTCTGGACCAGTAGTTAAATGGAGTACTTTTGGCAGTACCATTCACTGGACATTAAGTAACTTATGGTATTGTGTTAACAAATTAAAGGTCCAACACTTATAAGTTACTGAACAAATTGATTTTAAAAAAAAAAGTTTTAAGGAAAGGAGCAGGCTGACAGACAAAAGGGCATTTAGCCTCTCAGCTCAGCAAGGTTTTTGAAATACTTCCTGTAAGCACTTTGAACACATCAACACAAATACTAAGGATTAAGGAAAAATGAATTGTTTGCCCTAGATGTGTCCTCAACATACTGCATAAAAAGTATAAACACCCATCAGAATTACATTTGTATAGGTGAGCTGCAAAGCTTAACTGAAAATAGATAAGCCCAGATTTGTGTGCCGAACACCCACAACAACCAGGCTGCTCAGTCAAATAAGCATATTCTGAAACGTGCTGGATGTAGTGTGTTTTCAAGAGGTATTCAGTGATGATTAAACATGCAACTCTTCCAAAGGAGAAAAAAACAACAACACCACAACAGGATTTTGAGTACAAAAGTAAAATTTTATATTATCTCAAAATCAAACTAGGATTCCTTACTATGTGGACACTTTCACGTGTACTATTTTGCTGAGATTAGTTATTGAAGGCCTGCAATTCATCATAGGGTTCCATTCTCAACTGAGACACAGTACTCAGGTAATGAAAGAAAGTCTTAGTTCATTGCTAAACTATTAATTAATAAGCAACCATGTTCAAAATTAGATGGGCAGCCACTACAAATTGGCCTGAAAGATAGCTCCAAAAATCATCTGTCCTCTGGGAACCATCTCCAGTTGTGCACAATAAAACTTCTGTCCACAGTTTTTATTCTGTCTTGACAGCTGGGCAAACAGCTGGCATCTCATAGCGTACAGAAAGGGTGTGAGTTAACAGTGAATAATGAAGTGTAGGATTGTGGCAGGTGTGGATCTCTTTCCTCAATTCCATGAGTTCTAGGGCTGCATCAACTCCATCTATGCTTTCATGGAAAATTCAGACCCAGAACTCCCTGTTATGACTAAGAAAGTGGGACTCAAGCAAGCACAGCTGCAGTTTACAGAAGCACCTGATGGTCCAACTCAGATTATAAGAAGTTTGATAAAGGGTGAAGCTAGCAAGTTATGTAAGTTAAAAGGGGCCAGTCTTCAAGATTTTCCATGGTATTGTGGAAATGATCATTTAATTCCAACTTCTACTTGCAAGCATAACGCATCCTAAGTTGTGAGAATGTTCAAAAATAAACAGGAAAAAAGGAAAAGCCATTATCATTCAAGAGGTTCAATTCATACCTGGACTGAGTACTGTCCCTGCAATGGAGATGATGCAATCTAATTTCACCAGCTCTCCTCGATAAACTGTTGTTTTATGCGATTCCACAGAGACATTGAAAACAGGACCTATGAAGAAAAACACATATTTCTCATGTGTGACCTCATATATTACACACAGAAAGCCTTACCTAGTATAAACATATATTCATAAGCTGCATCTGGCCAAAGGTTCATGCCTCTAAAATGTACTTAGGAAAACTGAAGCAAAACAAGAAGTGTTCAGCCCCTGAGAACATTTTATGTGCTCAACACCATCAGAATTAGCTTTTGCACCAGTCGGTAGAGTATGAGACTTAATCTCAGGGTAGTGGGTTCAAGCCCCACGTTGGGTGAAAGATCCCTGCATTGCAGGGGGTTGGACTAGATGATCCTCATGTTCCCTTCCAATTCTATGATTCAATGAAAATTCAACAGTATTTCACACATTCTGTTGTCAGTGCTGACATTTATGAGAGCACAAGGAGAGCTCTTAAGGCTACCTGTTAGCTGTACTTGCTTTCGAGCTTGCCACCACTAAAACTAGGATTTTAAAAAGCACTATAAATCCAATGATATTCCGTGCATATTTTGATGGTACCAGGGACATAATTTTTGCTACATTATTATGATTATTTGATGTATTTATATTCTGCCTTTCAGGGCAGCTTAAAATATTTAAAACATTATAAAATACCAAGTAACAAAAGCAAACTAGTTAAAAACAATAATTAAAATGCAGCGGAACATATTTTAAACCAGCCATTAAAATACAGTTCTTCCTGATAGCATTCCAGTGCAGCATCGCCTGCACTTTAATCTTCAAAGGCCTGTCTGAATATGAAGCTCTTAGCCTGCCGGTGGAAGGTTAACAAAGAGGAAGCCAATCTAACCTCTCTTCAGAGGGAATGCCAGAATATGGGAGCAGCCAAAGAACAGGCTCTCTCTTGTGTTACCACCAACCGTGCTTCGGGTGTTGATGGGACCAAGCGAATGTGCTCACGCTCATCCGAAGACCTTAGCACCCAGGCAGATGCATTATCTTTCAGGTTGCCTGTACTCAAGCCACAGAAAGTTTTACACGTGCTAAGTCCACCCCAATTTTGCTGCCTAAAACAAAGGGCAAGAACACCCTTCATCTTTATACATACAGGACTGGCAATAGGATGGCATACTCCACTGCAGGGGCCAGGCTGTGAAAGACACACACACAGTTCTGCGCTCGAAATACCTTGCTGCAGCTCACTCCCTGCTCTGCGGCACCTGCTCTCTCCCCACTGAAACTGGTGGTGCCAGTGTGCACCATGTGAGTAGAACAATGCACATGTTGGGAATTCCATTCCACCCTTGCTGCAGATATGTGGGATTGTTACATGTCACATGTCTGTTTACATTCCGGCACAGATTGCTGGAGTCCCGTGAGCGGAACATCCGTTCTGTACTGCTTTTGTTGTCTCCCTCTCCAAGAAGAACGACAAGGAGAGAGGCCGTGTTTTCCTTTGTACTGATTTATGTGTAATAAATGCGTAGTTTAGTATAGTATCCACGCCTCAAGCCTGATCTGTTGTGTGTTTACTTTGCTGAGTAATGTGTGTTCTTGCATGCACAGAAGCTTGAGTCGCAAACGCACATCAGAGGAGGATGACTGATGGATATCCGCAGTGGCAAGGCTGAGAAGGGAGACACTGATGGATCTCCGCAGTGGCAAGGCTGAGAAGGGAGACACTCCGGCTGGGGCCAAGCCAGCTGGCTTTCCATCCCACATACAAGTCTGATGCTTACTAAAAGGCATGGCCTCGCCTGCCGGCCACTCTGCTTACTTGCCCAACGGAACTGTTTGTAATGTGCTGTGGGAAGCTGACCTAATGAAACAGCATGCCAGCCAAGGCAGCAACAACCAAAGACCATTGCCCAGAATATGAGACTAACTAGGGGAGCTCAGGAGGAATGACCATGAAGTCTTACTCTCCATCTTGGACCTTATACCTATTAAAGCCTACCCTTAACCTCCACGAGCAGAAAGCAGTTATGAGAGAGGGAGAAGAGAGATGCTGAGCAAAAAAGAAAAAAGTTAATATCTCTGTTTATTTAAAGCATTTTTACTCCAGTCTTTGGCCAAAAAGGCTCCAACAGAATCTTATGAAGATCAACAAAAAGATTAAGAAATATCCCGCTCCCATGGTGTTGAAGATCACAGCCTCCGGGGTTGCTCCTGGCTGGCTAAAAAAGAAAGATGGAGAAAAGATATATGTTCCTGCAACATGGCCTTAGTCTTTGTTGAGATTTCTGCTCTTTCAAAGTGAACCAGTACTCCAATATTTGCTGTTTCTCTCACAGTCAGGCTAGGCCAGTATTCTCAAGGGACACATTCAACAGCAAAGCAAGTTTCTGTTAAGGATGTTAGCAGCTTGCAAACCATGTTATTTTTTTCTTGGTCTATGCTGAATCAGCCATAGAAGTCAAACCTCTGTATTGCAAAGAGAATTTATTTTTATTACGATAACTTTTTTGAAAAGGAAAACCTGATATACAACCACTCTCACAGACACATTTTACTGTGACCAAATTCAGCTGTTAGAAGCAGTTACTACCTCAATTATTACTTCAAAATTAACATAGTACCAAATTTCTCTTCTAAATTACATTTTTGTATCGTACAGCATGAGACTGAATTTATCTCTTGCCCTAATTACTTAGATAAGAAGGCTGCCCAACAATAGCAAAAATATTTTTTAAATAAATAAATATTTACATATGAGTACTACAATAACACAGAGGATGTAGTGAACCCACATAATCAAGACCATTCCAATGATTCCCAAATATAAATATAAGATGGGCACATTTTCTTCCTTGCTGCTGAATTTTTCTACAGATAAAGCAATTCCTACATAGGAAGAGTGCCATAAAAAAAAAAATCTGTTCTACATGCTTTCCACTTCAGACAAAAATAGTTGCATTAAATTAATCCTGTATCAAGTTAAGAGGGAATTACTGCATTTTCTAGTGCCTTATCAGCCTATAAGAGGAAAACCAAATTTATGTCCCTGATGACAGCTCTTCCCTAGAAATTACTGCCAATCGTTAAAAAATGATGGAAGGCATTCCATATATTCAGTGTCACTTAGAATGGTCTATGCATAAGCAGGCACAATTTTGTGAAGACTGCAGAAAGCAGAAGGAACATGGCTAGAGCAATCCCACCTCACTCAGTAGGGGAGATTCGTAGGAGAGCCACTGCCATATCCAGAACCCTGCTGGTTTGCTACAGAAAGGACAGAGTTGCCATTTTCAGAGGTGGCATATTTCTGTCTGGCAACCCTGGAATGCCAGTTCCTGGTCTCAGGTTGTTCCCAGTACCGGCAGCACGTTAGTGATAGCAGCAGAGCTTTCCATGATAACACTGGCAACCATAACCCAAGAACTACCATACAACCCAATTGGTTTAACAGGTGTTAGTTATTGACCTCTTCTCCTCATCCAAGTTCCCAAAAGAGAACCCTAACAATTGGCCATCATACGAATCAACAGGCCCATGAGCCACAATCCCTATGAAAGACTTAGATATTGTGCAGGTTTTACCTTAAGGAATACACCATCATGTAAAACAGGAGATAATATTGATAATTAGTAACCTTCAAAGAAGATCTTTTAGTTTTCACTCATGTTATCATCACTGGGGAAGCTGCATTATTTTATTAGGATGAAAACAAACTGCTGTGATGAAGTATTCTAGAGAACTATATTCTTATTAGAACTATATTCGTGTGTGTGTGTTCTGTTGTGAACCACTCTGGGATCTTCAGCTGAAGGATGGTATGCAAATTCAATAAATACTAATAAAAATATTTTGTGACATTTTAACTTGTTCTAGTGTAGGTATTACCCGGGTGTAGAATTAAAAGGCTTCTCTGTGCTACTTATTATCAAAAAGTGTTCATAATCAGGATGTATGTATGTTTGCAGACACACATTTGATAAATGCACTTTAATTCTCTGTTGCTTGTCATTTTATTAAATATTATGATTCAATGATGTTTGTTTTACTTTTAAATGGCACTGAATTTACAAAGGAGGGTTTTGTTTTGTTTTTTTAAATGAACAATGTAGTAATATGAAAATGGGAACAATTTTTCAATCAGAAGTGTTGACAATTCTAAAAAGATTCCTACGGAGACGTTCTCAGCTCTTGCATTGGGTTTAGGAAATATGATTTGCCCCAAAGGTGGGGGGCGGAGTTCTGCTGAAACAAATGTTAGACTATCTAGTCTGTCATGCACCATTATTTGAGGTAGGATAAAAAGGTAAGAAAAGGTAAAGGACCCTTGGACGGTTAAGTTCAGTCAAAGACGACTATGGGGTTACGGCACTCATCTTGCTTTTCAGGCCAAGGGAGCTGGCGTTTGTCCACAGACAGTTTTCCAGGTCATGTGGATAGCATGAGTAAACTGCTTCTGGCACAACAGAACACCGCGATGAGTGCCAGAAATGCCGTTTACCTTCCTGCCACAGTGGTACCTATTTATCTACTTGCACGGATATGCTTTCAAACTGGTAGGTTGGCAGAAGCTGGGATGAGCATCAGGAGCTCACCACACTGCATGGATTCAAGCTGCCAACCTTCCAATTGGCAAGCCCAAGAGGCTCAGTGGTTTAGACCACAGCGACACCCACACCCCTACTGAGATGAAGTATGACATTTCAGTGAGAAACCTGATTTAAATCGGATTCCCCCTCCCTTTTAAAATTGCCTAGATTTACATCAATCCACCCTGAAAAAGAGGATGGGGTGGGAAGAAGGAATAGACACATAACTGCTGTGTTGATCACATTCTAATACAACTAAATATGCATTAAGGATCCCAGTGAAACAACTGTGACCTTCACAGAAACATAGTGCCAAAGAAGCAAATTATATTACAATATATCCTCCACTGGGACAGAAAGAGACACAGAAAACTTGATCCAACAGACAGTAGCAGCACGCAGTTGCTGTCTGGCCATCCTAGGTTCATAAGAATGCGACTTTCAATGCTACATTGAACACAGACCATATAACAGCATGCCCATAGTATGAGATATAGGAAAAACTGATGTCATCCACAAGCCCTTCCTATTCCAAAATATTACTCACATCTACCCTGGCCTCAGACCTTGCATTATTATTGTGAAGCTGCTATCATCTTGTCATTTAATAGGCCCTTCTCTCACATAACTCTAGTCATAACTGTTTTTTCTGTGTACATTCTTCGACTAGCACTAACCACACAGCAGAAGATATTACAAAAACAAAACGTTGTGTGTTTTAGCTGTGGCTTGTATCTCCAGCCACCAATTGACAAGAAGCCATACCAGAATTATTAAAGCACTATCCTGGGCCTGTGCGGGGGAGGGAGGCCGACAGTCTCTCTTTTTGCTTCGCCTCAAAAAGAAGGAAAAGGCTAAGTAGGATTGTGTTGTGTGAACATAAAAATAGCCCTGCTGGATCAGACCAAAAAGGTCCATTAGTCCAATGTCCTGACAGTGGCCAATCAGATGCCAGTGCAAAGTCAGCTAGCAGGAGATGAAGGCAAGAGCCCCCCCCTTTCTTCACAGGAACTGGGACTCAAGAAGTCCACTGCTTTGAGCACAGAGTTGCATAGCAGCCACTCACAGCATTCTCCTTCATGAGATTATCCAGTTCCCTTCTAAAGCCACCTAAGCTAGTGGCCATCACAACTTACAGCAGCAAACTCCTTGAGTTCACTAAGCACTGTGTGAAATTGTCCTTAATTTTAGCTGTCCTCAATTTCTAGCCAGTCCGCTTCTTTGGATGAACCCAAGTTCTAGAGAGTAGGAGAAGAATAACAATATTTCTCTCTACTTTCCCCGTGCCATTCATAATTTTGCAAACCTCCACCCCCTTTCTCCACAAACTAAATCTACATCAAGTTTCCCCTTAGCTGCCTTACTATGATTATTTAAGTGAAAAGTGCCGATTATTATAGTCTTCTCTCACAGAAAAGGTGAAAGAGGGGAGGGCACTTTAACACAGTTCCAAAATGAATTGTTGTGAAAATAAGAATTAATAAATGGGGTGGGGTTTATTTGGTGTTTTGGGTGTGTGTTTTTTTGGATGCCAGCCCTCTTGTTCCTAATAAATTGAGAGGGATTTGGCTGAGAAGTACAGTATACTGTCTCTCTGGAAGAAACTGCTTTGGCCTACCATGATTCAGCCTACCTGGGAATTGTAAGGGTTAACAGTGCTTGTGGGGTCAGCATTACTGAATAGTGAGGGGCACAGCTGCCCTTTCTTACAATACAGTGGGCGCAAGGAAGGGCATATACAGGCTCTCCCCTTCCACTGCAAGCCCCACAGACTGCAGTGACTCATACCGGCTGTAAGGGAAAAGGCGGCCTCAAATTCACGACTGGCTCATGGTGGCTTCATATAGCCAGAGCTGCCCCGAGAATTCTGTAGTGGAACTGGAAGGTGGGATATACATGTTTAAATAAATACTTTGATGGTCTCATTTTGCATGCTGTACAAGCAAGTCCCAGGTACATGCCCCATAGAGTAAACACCGACAGCGTGCTCACACACAGTTCTAATTGGCCACATGCTGAATATTAGTGCTGGGCTGTAGGCAGACAAGTATAGAGACTGCTGAACACATGTGTCCTGGCTGGGATGAAGCACAAATTTGCAGAAGGGTCTAGGCACAATTTAGGAAGCTGTGCAGGGCTCCATAAGCAAAGTACAAGGAGGCTGGATTGCTCACTGCCCGGTATATTAAGCAGGAGTAAGCTAAAAATAGTTAACAGCTAGCGTATGGAATAGCACCACCAAGCATGGAAACTGGGCATCCAAGTCCCGTACAACATTTCAGGATAGGACCTATGTGTGCAGTTCTCTCAACCCTAGTATTGAACATGTTGTTCTTCTCTTGCTAGGGGACATAATAAATGTGATATCACACTGCCTAGAGCCCTGAAAGAGCACATACTACTTTGTTACTGAAAAGCCAACCTCTTTTATTAAAAGATATAAAGCAAGTTAGACAAGATGCGTCTGAGGTTTTGCCCTCACGTATTTTTGTTATGCCTCTGGTGCTGAAGTGTTGCCTTGTGCTATCTCTTGCCTTCAGGGAACTCAAGAGTTCACTGGCCAGGTTATGCAGCCATGCCTGCAAAAGGTTTCCTTTCGCAGTTTGCAACCATACAGCTCTCATACATCTAAAGCCCAGAAAAGTAGTGCTGAGCAGCTGAACGGCTTAGGACATGTGCTTCAGGAGAAGGGAGCCTCTCAAAAGCAAAAAAAAACCCCAAACCAACCCTACCCCTTAGATAATTGGCAGCCTTGTTGACAAGAGCCCAAGAATGCCCTGGAATGTCCTAAGACCAACATGATGTTCCAGAAACAACAATGGATCCATCATAATAAATGAGAGATCTTGCTACCAACCTGAAAGTAATTCCTCATTCTGCTTAGGCAGAAGGATATGCTGAAAGGGAAAAGAAAAGTACAAATGTGCCCAAAACCACCACACTGGCTCACATCATTACGAGCTCCAGGAATTGCAGCACCATATGTTAAAGAAGGATCAGATATACTATTAACAATTAAATTTGTATTCTGACCTTCCTCCAAGCTCAGACCTGCTTACCTGTGGTTTCCAAGATCTTGCAGACAAAATGGGGTGTCTGCATCATGCCAAGCCTTGAACATATTTTGGTGCCTCTTGCCTTTAACACAATTTGAGGTGGGGTGTGTATATAATTAGCTGAATGGGAAGTAGAATAGGATTATGACTACAGCTCATGATTAGTGAGGAAAGAGCTGAACCATGAGCCCATGTGTTTGGAGAACACACTGATCCAAACCTTGGTGTAGAGTGGTGAGAGAATAAAAACGACTAGGGAAGAACAAAGCAGCCGCAACACCACACAGTCCCGGTAAGTTACTGTCTGACTTACCAAGTTGCGTGAGTCAGGATTGTAAATATGAGGTAGAAAAGGAAACTCAGAGTACCTAAAAGACTACGTCGATTGGGTGAATAGAAAATGGAAAATTTTCGGCTGGTGAAAATAAAGGATCATTTGCTAGCAATGAGAACTCTTAGACTGTGAAATAGCTTTGAGCAAATTAGTGATAGTTCCTGTTTTAAGAGACTTAATACGGTAAATTGAACAGAGGTTTTTGTTGCACAGTTGGGAACAACCTTCTATTGATACTGAATGAAGGAGAATATAGATTAGAGATCTTGTGTGTCCTGATTTATGAGCTCCAGGTTAGAAGATGTCCTTGCTTCAGACAAGTGTTTTAAAAAGACGTGCATTCATTGCACCACAGAAAAACAATGATCAGTGAGTGAGAGTCGTAGGGAAACTTTCCATCTCAAGCTGGCAATTCTACTACACCCCGGGATAAACAAGGAAGCTTTGTGGCAACTAGAAGACTAACAAATGGACTAGAGCATAACCTTTCAGGGACTAAAATCCACTTCATCAGATGCAACCGATATCATAATAAATCTGTTTGGCTTTTAAGATCCTCAAGACTCCCTTGGTTTTTCTGCAACTAACATTGCTTCTCCACTGGAAAGAATCTGATACACATTCTTCTATGAGAGTTCATGGAAACCTTTCTAAAGCACATCTGCGTGTCAGGGCTCCTAGGGTAAAAATAAATAAATAACTTGGGTTGGAGTGCAGACACCAATTTACACAGGGGAAAAGAGACAGAGAGACCTCCTACAGTTCAGCTAAATTGCACAATCGCATCCTGAAGAGCTTTTCTTGAAACATGAAACCATTCAGACAAAAGTGATGCTCCAAACAGCTCTGGCAGTAAGCCAAACCAGTGGTTGAAAAGTCTTTCGATCTAAATAAGTCCTCCCAGCTTCATGCAAAAAATCAATAAGAACACAGACATCTATTGCAACAACCACTAAAAGCTTTTATGTGGAAATCTTTGAGATTTCCTTTAACCGTAGTCCCTATACCCTTTATTAACTTCTAAGGTTACACAGGGTATTGCCTGAGTTGGGCATGGTTCAGATTGAAGGTCTTGTTTTAAAATAAAACATGGGCAACATGTTAGAGCCACTTCACACATTTTGTTTTCACCAAACACTGTCATACTATTAGAGCTGTGTGTAGGGTGAAGGGAAATGACTGAGCATCTTCAAACACTGAAGCGCTACCATTGGGTATGGCTCCTTTGGCTCATTCTTTTGGCTCACACTTTTGGTGTCTACTGCAGCAAACCCTGGTGCACTGTTGAGTGCCACCCCACTGTGTGGCCACCCATGTGCTTTCACACTTCGGAAAGGAACTAGCACACCAGCCACAGTATCAAAGGAAGGAATAAGCTGTAACACAACATTCATTTCTGCAATCCTGATTTAAGCCACAGCTACAGACAATTGTTGGTGGTTCTTGGGGTGGTGGCAGCAGTGGCACCTTTCCACTGGTGCTGGGAGGATGCACCACTACTGGTACCTATCAGTCCCAGATCTGCAGGCTGCTTTCTAGAAGTCTGCTGCAAGGAAGTTATAGTTATGTTTGACATTTTGCTATTGCTTGGAAAGCTGTAGCCTTTTCTCCTTTCCCAGTACCTTATGAAACATAACCCACCCAGCAGAAACAGTTCATTGAAGGTATGATGAACAAATCTCTTCACACACACAGCTTGATCTCAACACTGTATAATGGTTGTCCCCCCCCCCCGAAAAAATTGTCAATATTATCTCCTTTTCACACAACACTGACTCTCTAGCTGGCAAGTGAGGCACTACAAAGAAGAGGCATGTGTCCTGACTAGCAATGCTCAGACTCTCTCAGCTGGACAGAGTGCACTATGTAGGTGTACAAGTGCCAACCAGTAGGCAATGGGCCCAAAAGCAGATTTATTTTCTTCCCGTTTTTGTTATTTATTTAATCATTTGACAATTATCAGTAATCAACAGAACTCTGCTCCAAAAATATTACTTAATATTACAATACTCTGCAAGTAAACACAAATTAATGCAAAATTACAAGATTTCTTCTATAAAAAAATCAAACCTGATTGAATTTGCTTTTGCGGGAGGTAATTATTTCCTTGTCAATACTGTAATACTGTACTGGGCAATCAGTTTCCCCCAAATTTATTTCTATATTCACCTACAATTCTCGCTCTTAGGTGTTATTTTTTCCGTTACAGCCAAACTTTGTTAAGCCTTTCTTTCCAGGGAGGGAGTACTGTAACTTTATGATTTGTTTATTGCTCCAGTAGTTATGGAAGCAGTCAGATGCCATAACTTTAGAACAATTTCCACTTACATTGGTGTTCAGAGGTGTTAAATGAATGATCAATTCCAGAGTTTGGGACAAACCAAGTTAAGAAGCCGGGAGAAGTATAATGGCAAGTACTGGAAGTCCATAGCTATTTGCTTCTGAATGACCTTATGAAATAGTTGAATGCGCAGCTACTTCTGTTCCCTCCAGATATTGTTGGGAACGCCTAACAGGGGCAATGGTCAGAAATCATGGAAGCTGTGGTGCAGAAACACCTGAAGGGTACCAAGCTAGAGAAGGGGGTCTGATATCTTCTATGACTACCCCAAAGAGGATTCTCCATTCAAGCACATCTGACTTCAGAGAAATTTAAGACTTCAAGTGACCATCTTTTAAAGGCTCAATGGGCAACTGGCAGACATACAGATCAATACTTGGATGCCCCAGTAACTTTTATCAAATTCATATGGAGAGAAGTAAAAGATGTGTTCCTAAGCATGGCATTTCCATCCCAATTTCCTGGATTTCAACCAGCTATGAAGACTACAGAAATATTATTTGACAATACCATGACTGTAGGATTTCTTTGTGGAAGAGAACTTCATGAATTTCTTAAATGCATTTAATACAGCAATATAAAGGGGAAATTCTGATCCACGGACCACAGCTTTTCTGAATGAATCTCTGGGACAGGCACTATTGTCATGTTCTCTCACCGATTAACATTTTGAGCTTTGCACTGACCTGAGGTCTGGAAGTCTATCTGGATCGGGTTGGATAAACCATTGACTGCCTCTCGCCACATGCCTCCACCCCCTGGTGACCATGCAGTCACCACACAGCGATACAGCCCAGCATCAGAAATCTGTGTCTGGTACATCCTGTAGCGGAACTCGTTCTCCTGAACCTTTTCCAAGACCACACCATCCACCCGTTCCTGGTCTGTCCAATCTTCCCGTCTGACCACTGAATCTTGATTGAGAGAAATTATGCGAGTGGTCCCATTAGGAGTTGACCGATCATTCAGATGCTTCTCGGCTGTAATGAGGACTGAGTAACGAGGAGTCTTGATGTTCTGGGAAGACACCTTGCATGTCATTTCAAAGGTGTGCCCTGCCATGAAGAATGGCTTCAGTTTCACAGCCTCTACGGTCAGCATATAATCTGAGAAGAGCAAAGGAGGCACAGACATAAGCTACAAGCAAAGGATGGACAAACATATACAGCAAGCAAGGGATTAATGCTGCAATCTAACATTCAGCAATGCATTTCATGTTAAAAAAAACTGAGGAGTGGGCATCATAGTCTGTTAGAGGCAAACACACAAAGAATCTGAGGACAATATGCAAACCTAATAGCATAATTCCCACTGTGTTCAATGGGGCTACTCTCAGGCAAGTACTGTATGCACAAGACCACAGCCCAAGTGACACAGCCCTTAGTGGCTACTTAGCAGAATGTTGTGACAACACATGAGGAACAGAAGCAGCAAGGAAAGGTAGGCATGCAGAATAATTATATACTGAGAATTTAATCTTAATGTTTGGATGAAGTCCTAATTGAGCCTTAACAAGAAGTTAGAGTTTCAATTTAACACTACGCAGTGGTTGCCTAAATGGGCATGGGTAAACTTAAGAGTCTGGAAAAATAGCTTTACCAAATTTTGTTTATTTATTCTATTTATTAATTATCTACACCGCCCTTCATCCAAAGATCAGAGTAGTTTACAATATTTAAAAAAAACCACAAAAATAAATAACATAGTAGCAAACAAAAACAATATCCCCCACCACAGTTCAAAAACCATACATTGGCTAATTAAACAAAGGTCTGGGAGAAGAATAAAGTTTTTGCCTATTGCCTAAAGATATGTAATGAAGATGCCAGATGAGCCTCCCTGGGGAGAGCATTCCACAAATGGGGAGACGCCACAGAAAAGGCCTGTTCTCCTGGCAGCACACGAAGAAGGGCCTCAAATGATGGTCAGTTCATATGGGGAGAGGTGGTCCTTGACATATTGCATACCTCTGTCATTTAAGATTTTACAGGTCAAAGCCAGCACTTTGAATTGGGCCTGGAAACTAATTGGCAACTAGTGCAGTCAGGCCAGGATCAATGTAATATGCTCAAACCGTCTTGCCCCAGTGACCTGTCCACTGAATTCTGCACCCACTGAAATTTCCAAACCATCTTCAGAAGCAGCCCCAAATATATTGTGTTGCAGGAATATAACCTAGAGGTTAACAGTGCATAGGCGACAGAAGTCATGCTAACCTTGTCCAGATAGGGGCACAGCTGGGCCACCACCCAAAGCTGATAGAAGGCACTCCATGCCACTGAGGCCACCTGAGCCTCGAGCAACAGCAGTGGATGCTGAAGTACCTCCAAGCTGCGTACCTGCTCTCTCAGAGAGAATATACTCCCCATCAAAAGAAAGCCATCTCCCATCCATCTGGTCTAAGGAACTGCCCACTAACAGTGCCTCGGTCTTATTGGATTGAGTTTCGGTTTATTGGCTTTCATCCAGTCTATTACCGAGGCAAGACATCAGTCCAGCACATCCACTGCGACACCTGCAATTAGAGCTGTGTGTCATCAGCATATTGCTGACAGCATAGTCCAAAGCTCCAGATGACTCCACCCAGCATGTTAAACAGCATGGGGGATAAAAATTGAAGCCTGAGGAACCCCACAATGAAGGCTCCATAGGGGCGAAGAACACTCTCTAAGCATCCTCATCTGGAATCGACCATCCATGTAGGACCAGAACCACTGCAAAGCAGTGCTACCCACTCACTAACTCGGACAGCCAATCCAGGAGGATACTATGGCTGATGGTATCTAAAACCACTGAGAGGTTAAGGAGAGTTAACAGGGATGCATTTCTCTCCTGGCAGGTGTCATTATACAGGGTAACTGAAGCAGTTTCTGTGCCAAAGCTGGGCCTAAAACTTGTCTGTAATGGATCTAGAAAACCAGCTTCCTCCAAGATCACCTGATGCACCCACAGTACCTCCTGTTGCAGATGATTTAGGTGACATTTGAGTGAAACAAAGCTTAATTCAGGATACAGCATTCATTTGGTTTTCGGATTAATCTCACAATAATTGACAATACTTCAAAAAATCTGCAAACTTTTATCATTTCTGCTATTATTATTTTTTAAAAAAAACCCAAGTCTTCTATTTGATCTTTGACTTGTTTGCAAGAATATCAGATATGCAATCACGATTAGGCAGGTTATGTTCCATTATCTCAGAAGTACTTTATCTCAGAAGTTACCTACTTGCAACCATTCAGCATAGTGTCAAGTTCTGGAAAGACACCTATTCACTGTCTGCGTATTGCCTCACCTCCATTTTTAAGACTAAGGTCTAAAGGTAAAGGTAAAGGACCCCGGATGCTTAAGTCCAGTCAAAGGTGACTATGGGTGTGGCGCTCATCTCGCTTTCAGGCTGAGGGAGCCGGATTTGCCCACAGACAGCTTTCTGGGTAATGTGGCCAGCATGACTAAACTGCTACTGGTGCATGGAGGATTGTGACAAGTTCCAGAGTGCACAGCAACACTGTTTACCTTCCCGCCACAGCAGTACCTATTTATCTACTTGTACTGGTGTGCTTTTGAACTGCTAGGTTGGCAGAAGCTGGGACAGAGCAACAGGAGCTCAACTCGTCGCACCAATTCAAACTGCCAACCTTCCGATTGGCAAGCCCAAGAGGCTCAGTGGTTTAGACTACAGCACCACCCACGTCCCTCTTTTAAGACTACTGGACTTCTTAAGGCAGAATTGGGATATATCATGTGCGCAGTCTGAGATGGTGGTGGCAATTCAGTCTCATAGGCCATATGAATACAGGATTGTTGACATTTACATCATATGTATAATGAACAGACAGAGAGAAATATTAAGAGACATATCTGTTTGGGAGGCTTGAGCATTTTTAAATTTTTTTTGAAGATATATATATTTGAAAAACAGGTTAGTATCCTTGAGCACGTATGTAATGTGATGTCTCATTTTGTCCCAAAGATGTATAATTTTTTTCTTACAGGGCTTGCTATTGCTGCATTAAAAATAGTTGCACACAAACACACATAGAGAATCAGTAAGAATTCCAACAGCAGTGAAGGAATTGCTCTATGCATCTGAGGGGAAAACCACTATTAAATAGAAAAATATATAAGATTTTCAGTGAATGCAAAGTAAAAGTTCCATGAACTACCACAAGAAATTATTAGCAGACCTGCATTTGAATATTTAAGAAGAAATTTGGGGAGGGCTAGGAGAAAAAAAATAGGTAAAACATTAATTACAGCCAACCTTAAGGGGGGGGAAATATAAAACCATGCATCAATGGCATCTGACATCATATAAACTGAACCTGATTTATAAATCTCTCTGAGGATAACTGCTGGGAAAACCTCATGCAGATTATATGCCACATATTTTGGAGATGAAATAAAATTAAAAGTTTTTGACAGTTAGTGCTGTATTATAATCAATCACAATATACAATATTCCAAATAAGATGGCTTAGCCTCTAAACCATTTTGAAGGCCGCATTGAATGCCAAAAAAACCAATAAATCTGTCAACAGCAGCTAAAATATCAATTGCCATGTATTGAAAAAAGAAAGAAGTTCCAGCTCTACTTGACTGATACTGTAGGATTCAGGTTAGACCATTAATGCAGAAATTATAAATATAATATAGCATAATATAAATTATTATATTTAGGCCCATGAAAATAATCAAAGATCAGCATTTATCAATGATAAAGTTGGTGATGGTGTATGGCTGTTTATACGGTTTACGTTGTTCTAATGAATCATCTTGCTTTTGCTTTATGCTACTTATTACCAAACTTGAAAGGACTTTATCTATATTTGTAGGTATTAATGCTTGTTTGTTTTGTGTGTTAATGTAAGTATTAAAACTTCTCATGGTAACCTGAGAGTTTAAATAAACAAAACGATTTGAATCAATAATACTGTTTCTATACTACTAAGACACATCCTGCAGTAACATGGAATACAGTGCCAAAATAAACATTTTTCACTAAACAGAAGTTAATATCATGCAGAACTGAGCCACATTCTGAAGGTGCACAAATGTAAATAAGATGAACTGTAAAAACTGTATAGCTTACTGCTCATTTCCTACCATACAACCTGAGAAGAGGTTTACCAGTACCAGTAGTTATCACGGAGAGCTGCGATAAAAAGGTATTAAATGCAAACATGTTTGAAAGTATTGTTACACACTTCTCATCTACCAATCTGGGCATGATAAAAAAGGCTTAATATATTATGAAGAATGAAGTCAGTATCCAGATTTATAAGATGGATTCATACCTACATTGGAGGGATTTTTATTGCCTGATCCTGCAAAAGTTTTGTTACAAAGTAGGGCAGCTTAGTTCAGATAAAGGCACTTTGCCAAAACTGGTCATATGCAAAAGCAGCAACAAACATTACATCTAGGCTTTCTGATCATTTCACAGCAAATCATCAGGACTACAGCTCGCAGGGCCCTTCATAAGAATATCAAATCTACTGCTTCCATCACCATCCTATTTTAGCAGGCGGAAGCTGACAATTCATGAAATATAGCATTTTAGTCATATTTTTGTGACTAGACGATCAATCTATATAAAAAAGTATAGCCTGTTGCTGCTATCTGAAAAGAGCTTGGAATTACACTAGGAAATGCAATTTGGTGGTGCCAAACTCTGGTTTTCCCTCAACCTGTTCCCTCATTTGGCCTCTACATGTTTCTACAGGTACATCACATACATTTTAGCTTTTCAGTATGAAAGAGACAGGTCACGTACCATGAAAGCTGGGCTTTTATTTATAGATTTGAACTAGCTTGGCATTTAGGCTGTTTGAACAACAATCCATTTTCTTCCAATAAAAATGCTGGCTGAATATTAAACACAAGGTGAATCTTTTACAAGGCAACAGGGAAATAAGATATACCAAGCTCGCAACACACTTCACAAAATTAAAACTACATACAATAATACTTTTGTCTTCCCCCAAGAGATCCGCAAGGTACTTGTTTGTGATTACATTTTGCAGTGCTTTTGCCTTCAAGCAGCAGTTTTCACAATGAGTAAACACTGCCTAGAAGATGAGAAAACTAGGTATGACAATCAGCACTGTACAAAGGAGATCACAGTACAATGCTATCTAAAGGAAACAGCAAAAGGTGGGGGAAGCACAGTGCGCAAACTGCTAAGCACCAAACTGCTCAATTGCTCATGTTAAAAATAGTTTAATGCTGCAGACTCAATTCCTCAAAGGTGAAGATCATTTTCTTGAATGGAAAGCTCTCAACTACCTACCCCCAAGAAAGCATGCAAGAGTGTCTCCCGTCCCAACATAATTAGCACAGATACATAGTGTTATGCTTGGAAAAGGGGTGGTTTACTTGGGCAAGGAATGTGGCAATGTAGAACATAAAGTCTCTATGCTGCCCTGCTGAGTGGCGTCGTTGTCCTCAAGCTATGAAACCTGGAACAGATGAAAAGGGGCAGAAAACTAGAAAAGGGCACAAGGAAAGAACAGTGGTGTGTTTTGTGTATGGAATGAATAAATAATAGAATCCTGGAATTGTAGACTTGGAAGGGACCGTGACGGTCACGTAGACCAACCCATGCAACACAGGAATCACAAATAAAGCATCCCTGATATATAGCCATCCAATCTCTGCTTAAGAACCTCCAATGAAGGAGAGTCTACCAACTCCGAGGAAGTCTGTTCCAGTGCTGAACAGCTATTACTGTCAGAAAGTTCTTCCTAATGTTTGGTATGAATCCCCTTTCTTGTCATTTGAACCCATTGGTTTGGGTCCTATCCTCCAGAGCAGGAGAAAACAAGCTTGCTCCATCCTCCATGTGGCAGCCCTTTAGATATTTGAAGATGACTATCACATCTGCTCTCAGTCTCCTCTTTTCCAGGATAAACAACCCAACTCCCTCAACGATTCCTCATAAGGCTTGGTTTCCAGACCCTTTATCATCTTGGTCACCCTCCTCTGCACACATCCTAATTTGTCAAAACTCCAAATGTGGCCTTACCAAGCTAGAATAGAGCAGTACTATTACTTCTAGAAGGGACGCGGGTGGCGCTGTGGGTAAAACCTCAGTGCCTAGGGCTTGCCGATCGCATGGTCGGCAGTTCGAATCCCCGCGGCGGGGTGAGCTCCCGTCTTTCGGTCCCAGCTCCTGCCCACCTAGCAGTTCGAAAGCACCCTTAAGTGCAAGTAGATAAATAGGTACCGCTTTATAGCGGGAAGGTAAACGGTGTTTCCGTGTGCTGCGCTGGTGCCGGCTCGCCAGAGCAGCTTCGTCACGCTGGCCACGTGACCCAGAAGTGTCTCCGGACAGCGCTGGCCCCCGGCCTCTTAAGCGAGATGGGCGCACAACCCTAGAGTCGGACACGACTGGCCCGTACGGGCAGGGGTACCTTTATTACTTCTAGAAGTATAGTCTCCAGATCAAGAGAATAGCATTAGGTCTTTTTTGTGTGTGTGCTGCTTTATCACTTTTTTGCCTCCAGTTAAGCCTGTGGTCCACTAAGAACCCTAGATCTTTTTCACATGTACTGCTGGCAATCCCATGTGGTATCGTAATTTAAAGTTGTCATCCTACTCTTTCACATTTTCTCCTCAACTTCCATGTTTAATATATTAATAAGATGCCAATCACTTTTGTAGAAGACAATTAAGCTACTGTACTCGGGGATAGAGAGAGATAAAAACCAGGTCCCTTACCCAGACACTTTTGCCAGTAGTGTCACAAGCGAGGGCAAGTTTGACCCCTACATCACTGATATCATGGACTGTAGCCATTTGCAAGAAGGTAAAAACAGGCACAACACTTCTACATCAGTGGTTCACAGCCTGACTAAAGAAGCTATTTGGGGGGCGTGGGGGATGGGACAGGATGACAGCTTTGCTGATCATTTATTAACAAAACAGAGAGAGCAGTCAACTGATTCCCCTCCTAAGGCCTTATAGGTAAGCATCTGCATGCTAATCTGAGCCAATGAACTGTCCTAACAGCACTTGGGAATGAAAGCAGGCAATCATATCCTACATTGGCCATTGGTATTCCCTTAAATGCTGCATCTAGCCAATAAATGTCTAATACTAATAAATGTCTGAGAATGATCAGCATCACTGCCACAAACTCTTTCAACCTGTGAATTCCCAGCTGAGGGGATTTACACTTGATCCCTTAGAGAGTCATCTTTGAGGAGCAGGCTCAGTGGAGATCTATAAGGAAAGCTGCAAAGAAAGGGAAATAAATTTCCATTCCTCATTCTGTCCAGACCCTTCCCTTACTGGCACTATTCCATGTCTCCATTTGTTGAATAAAGTAAAGAAGAAAATACAGTGGTACCTTGGGTTCATACGCTTCAGGTTACAGACTCCACTAACCCAGAAATAGTATCTTGGGTTAAGAACTTTGCTTCAGGATGAGAACAGAAATCATGATCTGGCGGCGCAGCAGCAGCAGGAGGCCCCATTAGCTAAAGTGGTGTCTCAGGTTAAGAACAGTTTCAGGTTAAGAACGGACCTCCAGAACGAATTAAGTACTTTACCCGAGGTACCACTGTACTGCCTTCAGGCAATACTTTCTAATGACACCTTGTTGCCACAAATCACTGAGTAGTTTTATAAACTTCCTAAGAACAGTTCATTGGCCACATGATGCTAGTTACAAACAGAAAATTTTAAGCCAAACATTATAGTATGCATAGTATAGTATTATAAGCATGCATGCAGAATGTTCTTTTAGTTAAAAGTATCATCTTCATTTACAAGAGGATTATCCAGTGGCTATTATATAGATTGCCTTAAATGCTTAGTAGTAGTAATGTTGGTCATCAGTTACAAGCTCAATTACTACTGCATTATTTGCATTAAATAGAACAGTTACATTTCTTATTACAAGAGAGGGTCTCATACACAGTTTTAACATAGGCATTTCAGAAAAGTTATAAGTATGCAAGTCGGTCCAATGAACACCATGTAATATTTGCTGCACCAGAGGATCTAGGACTTGTGACTGTGTAGTACACTGCCCAAACAAATGCAGTTGCTTCAAAATATGCACCCTAATTCCAGGCACAAAATGCATCACACACTGGATAAGCAACGTTCTAACCAGATGCATGCCAGAGAGGCAGTAAATGGTTATGCCTTTATTCGTTTCAGCAAGAGTTTGCCACTGACTTCAGGAGGCAGCCTCAAAGGCAATGTGAGTACTGCATTAAATGCCTAAATTTGCAAGATTCTTCTTAAGGGGTAACATCCAATCTTTGCAACGGACAGCTCAAACAAACTTGCATCTTATCTCATTAATGGTCTTAGCTGTCCTTTGAAGACAGAGTCAATTCTCTCCAAAGATGTCTCATATGACTCAAAAGAGATTGGGCCCAAACATGCTGTTCTTGGTGCCTTCAGAGGTCTCCTCTCTCTCTGGTTCCTGCGCCTGTGTCTTCCCAAATTCTCTTCTACTAATTTCTTAAGAACTACAAATCAACTGCAATGTGAATGCCTGCAACAAACTCTCCCATAAGTACATTTCTTTGTGACAATATTTTGACTAATCACTTAAGTAAGGATACATTCTCCTAATGTGCTTTCCCTATGAACTGCCCTTGACTATTTTCATTTTATAATAAAAACAGACTTAAAAAAAACAACTGGAGGCAGTTCAAGCTATTAAACTCTCCAGAAGCTCCAAGCTGTTTACACAGCTTTTACTTGCTCAGTGTTGATTTTATATTTCCAATTACGCACAAGCAAGGCAAAAAGCTGAAACATTCCATAAACCAACGTTAAGATGTGCTAGTAGTTAAATGAAGAGTATTTGATTGTACTTAGCGCTAATAGTGTGGATTTACAATGATGTATAATAATGAGAAAACTATTAAGAGTAGTTCCTGAAAATCATTACCATTATAATTAAATTCTGCAAGGAAGCAACAGTAGGCAAGTTGATTGTGAAGGTTGTAAATGAAGTTGCCTTGATTTTACATCTCAAATCTATGCACAACAAAACATATTAGGATAGAATATGACCACTCCAGAGCCTCCTTCCTCTAGGCTTCATTGAGATGAACAGCAGCAAACTCTCTGACACATCTTGCAATATTCTGCATGCTTTACTACCATCAAAATCATTTTATTTTTTTACCCACCCTTCACTCTAAGATCCCAGGGCAGGTTACAATTTTAAATACAGCATGAAAAACCATTTAAAACAGCTTACGAACACAAAAACAGAGTGGGTCCTAAAAAACATGCCCCTAAAGTGTCAAAGGCCAGGGTGAACAGGTTTGTCTCCAGCATTTGCTGAAAGCTGTATAGTGAAGCTGTCAGGTGCACCTCTGTGGGTAGAGAGTCTCACTACTTAGAGGCTGCAGCACAGGATGTCCCCAACCTTTATAGCAAGGTTAAAGAAAATTCCTTTCCTGTCTCTACTTTGAACTTCATTTCGTGGCATTTCGGAATCCAACATGGCCTTTGGTTCCTAGATCACCTGGGTCCCAGGAAGCAGCTTACCATCACACCTAAGAACGAAGACTATGCTAAGCATCAATACAATACAATCTATGTGGGTCTGTCCTTGTGCTTGGTCTGTAATCTGCAGTCAGTGCAGAATTATGCAGAGCAATTGTTGACAGGAGTGAGACCCTGTCACAATATTACACCTCTGTTCAGAGATCCACACTGGCTACCAGACCAAATGCAAGGTGCAACAGTTGGTATTGTTATGAATTTGCGCAAAGGGGAAGGGGGCAGGCTCCTCATCAGAGGCACCAACTTCTCAAGATGATTGAGGGGCCCCAACACAATGTCCTGATGTCACACATGCAACGTCACTAGGGGGCGGAACCAAATGCCCTTTGAACATTGAGGTATGGTGGCTGCAAAGGGGAGATCACCTTTTCAGCTGTGACATCTTCTCCTTGGAATTTCCCTCCCCTTATATATTAACCAAACACCCTCATGGATGGTGCTCAGAAAACAGACAAAATATGCTTTATTCTCTCACTGGCTTTTAATAGTATTTTATTTTAATGCAGTTGCTGATGAGCTGTTTTAACCCCCTTAAGGTTCTTTTACATTTCACCATGGTTTTTATTAGGTGATTGTTATTAGCCATCTTGGCAGAGGTGGGACATAAATATTTTAACAAGGAATAACTAGGCAAACACTTCGTCAACTTACTATTATGCAATTGCTATACAGAAAAGTAGAACAGTACTTCAAGACCAATTCTGTCTTTATAAAAAGCATTTCAAGTGTGGTATTTCACATTTCATGCCTATGTTATCAAGTTGAAGCTGGTGTTAAGTGCTGCAATTATGATCCTGAGACTAGGAAGTAAATGTCTAAGATTGACTTGGTGTTTTTTTCCCCTTAATCCCCACATTCCTGAATAATAATGTACACTGAAAATAAATCGTTTGTGTTTCCATGTTTTATCACCTCAACTAAGCTATTGTGTAGAATAACTGCAGCACATTTTTGCTGGTGCACTTAGGCCACTGAATATTGACTCAGGAGGTGGAACTAATTGCAAGTATCAGATTGCAGTGCTCTGGGTTTTGGATAAAGCTTCAAGGCTCTCCCCCCACCCCAGAAATCCCCACTTATTTCACAAGAACTGCTGCATAGTACAAAGTTTAAGGGTAGCAGCCTCCGTAGCATAATTGCTTTCTTTTCATATAAATTGCTTCCATGATCTCCAAAACGAGTGCACTGTTAGCATCTTTTCATGGTCCTTTTCTGTACTGCATTTCAGAAATACAAAGGCAAGGGATCATTTAATTTCAGACTGAAGACAAGGAGATAGAACAAGTTACATTATCACCACCTCTCTCTCATTTTCCTTGTCTTAATCTAGTGCTCAAAACCAATGACTGCAAGAACACAGAGGTTGTATACTTCTTTGCAAATAGTTTAACAGATGCCCCTAATATACCACTGCTTTCCTCTCCCTGAGAGGAAAAAAACATGGGCATGTTTTGCAGAATTCATGAGGCAGAAGCATTCTCTGTATCCAGACTCTCTAGGAGGAAGTGAATAATCGTGGGACAGAAAACAGGGTTCTCATTACAAGGTTTCCACACAAATAACTTTCAAAATGTACTTAAATACCCCAGGGATACTAAATGGCTTTTGGGAGAGCAAGTATACTGGCACCTGCAAGATAAAACAGATTAAAAGGAAGCCCCCGTGTTCACACATTTGTCTTCCAGATACTTCTCTGCAGCATCTGGCTGACCACCAATGGCAGGCTGGAGAGTAAGGCACATGGTAAGTGGATCCAAGGCCAGAGATAGTGATTTACAAGAGGGCTATTGCTGTATATAGCATTTTGTCTTAAGCTTACAGGGTGAATGGGGTGTTAGGGGAGGGGTAGTACCTCTGGTGAGGGACACGCTGTGCTCCTTCTGGGGTAGTCTGTCCATCTTTGGTCCCCACTCTGAACTCAACTCTCACCTGTGGCTCATGGGAACTGTCAGCATGTGACAGTGGCCACACCTTGGGAACGGCTTCGACTGGCTGATTAAACCAGGGGAGGGTAGCCAAAGGGTCTCAAACCCTCAGCAAGTTACGGATTCCGCTGCACGCAAAGACAGCAGATTGAGTGGACAGGACCAATAGTGGGTCCAATGGTCAGGAAGGTGGTTTCCACCACCCCCAGGCTCAGCCACACATACAAAAGATCTGCGTTGTGTGTGAGAGGGTAGGGAACCCAAGATGCATTGTTACAAGTCTGTACCAAAGCCTCCAACTTGGAAAGCCCAACAACCTAGTTTTAAACACATCCATTTGCTCACATATCCCCTGGGTAAATTTGAATTTGACACCTTTCCAAATCCTTGCCCTTCTGTTTTCCCGTGGGCTAATGTTAAGTACTTTAATAATGAGAGAGGTAGCCTGGCCTTCTGCCCTCGACTGCCCAGACAAATGCCTGCCTTCCTGTAATCACAGGGCAACAATCCAACTCCCTATTCACATTTCCTCCCCTCTTCTAGGTAAATTGTTTTTGCTATAATAAGATGCAAGTTTGTTCAGTTAATTCCCTCTCCTCTCCCTCACCCCCCATCCCACCTTGAGTATACTCAAGACAGTCTATATGGAAACCAAGAAACACTCCTCCTACATCTCCTGGTATCTCCCTTGTTCCCTGAAAGACAAGACATGCCAGAAACAATTTCCCCTTTTAAAAAAAGTCTAGGATTTTGGACAGAATTTTTGAAACAACTAAGAACCAACGCCTTCTTTCCCAGTAACAGCAGGAGTTTCAAGAATGTTGATTTCACAATTCAGTGGCATGCCTGGCTCATATTAGAAACCCCCCTAGTGTTCCCTTTAAAGTGTTTGTAATTACTCCACAAATATTAGGGTCAGTTGTATACAGTTTCCAACCAGCCCAAACTGGTAGGCGGTGGCACCAAGCTTGAGGTACCAGGAGATTTTTGAGTACTACGGAAGAGACTGTTCAGCCCAGCTTTGTACAGTACTGAGTGTATGGCTCAGTTATGATACTTAGGACATCTTAAAGATAGATCTTGAGAAAGCCAATTTTGCTGACCCTTTAGACCTTGCTCGCTCCCAAAATTATGTTCTTTTTTGTGGGGGGGGGGAGTTGCTGTCTAGGGAATTTAGATTTGATACACAAGATCTAAGATTGTGTAACTGAATTAATTTTGAATTAGCATCTCTAGCATAGATCAGATTATCAGTGTTTAGCCGAACTGAACTGGTATTAGGTTTTCTTCAGAAAAAGCTATACCCAAGGAATGATGAGTTCTTATGGCTACCTCTGTACATCTAATTTTAAGCTGGGAATTGAATCTGGCTTATTCCCTTGAACTTCTGTGGGTCAAGTTTTGATAGATGGGTAGCATTGTCAGTCACCTGACATCACAATATCAGGTGAGCCACTTTGCCAAAACAATCAGTTGACTATCCATACTTACAAAGCACTGTGTACAGGGAATTGCACATGGCTTTGAAGATGCTGTCACTCAGCTGATCAGTGATCCTGGCAACGCCCCTTTAGGCCAGATACATCTTTATCTGACCTGCACCTGGCATCATATATGAATAGTTTATTTTTAATGTGATGTGTAAATTGGGCCAATGGCAGGAAGTTTAAATTAGAGATCCACAGAGCTCCCTGAACATTCCATATGTCATATATGATGTCAGGCCTAGGGCAGATGGACATGGCTTGGTCAAATAACCTAGTGAGACAAACTGGGATGTCTTGAGGACCAAATTATGTCTGTGGTCTGCAGCTTCTTCACTGCTGTTTTAAATGAACTGATGAAGTAGAAGGGGACTTATAAAAACTGATTGACTTGGTAAACGTTTGTTTTCATAAAGCCTGAATCCTGTGTCAGTGTCGGTTTATACTGTCCATTTATGACTATGCGATTTTAAAAGTGAAGTGGGCAGGGGATGTATGTTGATTTTGCTCACTGATGTTTAACCAATTTAATGCTTCTTTAATTTAATAGTTTATGGTATTGTAAATTTTAGTTTCAGGCACCAATCTCTATAATTTGCTATCTTCCTTTATCTGTTCTAAGTTGAAAATCAAACCAGTTTCCCTACTCCTTTACAGGATAAAATTTCAGCTTCAAAAAGAAAATCAGATTAGCAACAAGGGAAGTAGTTTATAGTAGCTTGACTGGTATATTGAACTCCTTCCGAACCCAGCCGTAATTTCTATTCCTCCTCCTCTGCCTCTAAAAACTTGCCTTTGATGATCAAGAGATATTAAATATGAATAAGAGATAGGAGAATCTTGTCAGTAAAAAGCTACTGATTCTTGTCTCTGAAAGGCAGGCCTGTTCTTAAGAAGTACTCCTTGATTTGCCACTTAGCTCTCAGTTTCCGTTTGTGATCGATCTTACAAGGACTGAGTATCTATCTTAGACTTGTCAGTGGAGCACAGTATTTTGCATTTAATGCAATCCACAGTACTCTAGATACAGTAGAGTTAACCTTCAAAAACACCAAGTGCCTACACTCTTATCAAGTGTATAGTGGCGAAATGAAAAGAGGAAAATTTTTAAAGGCTGAGAGAGCCTTACTAGTTTTGTGGCATGGCCACACACATACTTACACTGTGTGTGTGGTGCTGTTGTTTTTTAAGTACCATAGGTCAGTCCCAAATATGATGCTCACTTAGAGTAGCTATTATGTCCCACTTTGCTTTACTTTGAAGTCATCCTCTTGTTGAAAGGCTGTCCAGTCCAAGTCCAGTTTCAAATGAAAGAACTATAAGGAGGAAGAGCAGAGGCTGCCCATCATCAGTTAGCTCCTGGATGGCAGACTGAATAGGCACACAGGTCAACTGGGCCAGCCTTGCCCTTGACAGTGAGAGATGTATTGCACTTCTATTTCTCTTACAGTCATTGGGTCAGGTTCACCTTACAAACCCTGTCAGCAGAAGGCTTCACAATAGGACTCTGCTCCCCTCCCCTGTGCCTCCCTAAATTGGTTTGGGTGGGTGGTTGGGAGAACAGTAGTGAGAGGAGAGGGGAGCTGATATGCTTCTGCTGATGAAACATTTGTAACAGTATGACGTCAAATTCCACCCACTATTTCTAAGTTTGCATATTATATAAACACATGCAAATTTATGCAAATCTGTGCCCTCTTTTTGGTAATATGTAAGCTTACCCAGCACGCTATTTATTTATTGGAAAACATGTAAGGGACCCTCACGGGCAGGCAATTATTCTCAAGCAATGTTTCAACATCCTACAACTACTGAAAGCGTGTTTGAAAGGGGATGGATTTGTTATAATTCTGCTCTGGCAGCATACAATCAGATAAATGCCAGATTTAGTTTTCTATTCTAGATGCAAATCTTCAGATTAAAAGGAAAATGTCTGGTCAAGATTTGCATTTTAACTAGCTGGCTGTTAAGTCTTTTCTAACACTAGGTACATTGTCTCAGTATCTTCAATATCCCCCACAAACATCCCTTGAAAGTGCAAGGAATATTACAGACTCAGATTAAGTTACCTATAATTATTGTTGTATCAGCATGACATATTGAGAGAATGCCATTAAAATAGTCAAGTTTAGAAAATAGTTTGTTAAAGGATCCAGGAGTAGAACAGACATCAGGTACAATGTAAGGTGTGTGTGGGGGGGGGAGAGAGAGAGAGAGAGAAGGTCGGTGGATATTGTTAAAAATAAGAGTCTAGTGGAATAGTTATGGAGTATTTCAGTTTTAATATTCCCTTTCCCCTTAGCCTCCTACCTGTTTATTCTGCCCATCTTTCGCATTTTAGGACTGGCCAGTGTAGCACATTGACCTTTTCTTATGGTCACTACAGTGGTACCTCGGGTTACAGACACTTCAGGTTACAGACGCTTCAGGTTACAGACTCTGCTAACCCAGAAATAGTACCTTGGGTTAAGAACTTTGCTTCAGGATAAGAACAGAAATCGCGCGGCGGCAGTGCGGCAGCAGCGGGAGGCCCCATTAGCTAAAGTGGTGCTTCAGGTTAAGAACAGTTTCAGGTTAAGAACGGACCTCCAGAACGAATTAAGTTCTTAACCCGAGGTACCACTGTATTGCCACTGCCCAATCTTCCTCCCCAGATATTCAGGTTTGCAGACATAGTGAAGGGAGTCCTATAGCGTCCTTAATATTTCCAAAAACTGGAATGTTCAGAGTGAACTCTACAGATCTCTAGTTCAAGTATTTCTACTTCTTCAAGCCATTGGGCCAATTCACATTGCCTGGGAAAGTTTTGCCTATGGTCACAAATCGTGGTTTAAAACTATAGGCAAAACGTTCCTAGGTCTCAATGCTTCTCATAAAACAAAATTTAAAATAAGTAATAAAAATAGATATCCTACAAACAAGAGCTGTGTGTAATCCACAGAGACTTAAGTCCAACACAGAGAACCTCCAGCCTATGAACAGCAGTGGGCCTGAGGCACGTAATCTTAACAAAATTCAGATTGCCACAAACTCTAGAATGCAATGCTGAAGGCTAAATCATGAGATAGTGTTACAGAGATGGTGGCAGACAACGGTGAGGAAGTTGTGAACATAGGACCTCAAATACAACATGACCTACCTGGGTCAACAGGAGGTCAGGACTATCGCAAATCTGGAGCTAAGCCACATATTCTGACTGGTTTTATGTCCAAATCATCTGCCTGAGGCTAGGACCACCAGTGTTCAGTCCCTGCAGAGAGCCATTCCACTGCAGATCATAATCAACAACCTTCAGGTCAAGTGCTTTAAGGAGCTGCAAAGTCTAGTAAAAACACATGCACAGACCTATGTAATTCAGTTAACATAGTTTAGTTTTAATGTTATTTGATTTACACAGAGCAACTCAAAATTAAGTTATGCACATGAGACCCAAACTCATCACTTGGTAAGAAGAAAGGGGATTTGAAAAGCAAAGCGGGGGCAGGGGGAGAAACCAGTATCAGAAACAAAGATGAACTGTCAAAATACTGTTTTGCACATCTGGCAAGAAATGGAACTTGCTAAAATATCAAGGAAAACCGTGTTTACTTTAAAATAAATAAAAAGCAGGGGGAGAGAATGCCACACATGCAGCCACCACATTTCAGATCACTCAAAGCACATCCAAAAGAGTATAAACAGATTTCCACAGTCTAACAAAAATGGGATAAACCTGTCTTTCACAAACAAGGCTACATTTTAAAGTCTGAGCAGCTATTATACTGTTTATGCTACATTTCTCTCAAGACACACAGCAGCTAAAAAGCCTCGTATGAGTGACAAGCAATTTGGATACTGTACTTTACAAAGAAAAGCTTCCATTCCAGTCCAGGAGGAGAAAAACATTCTTAGCCCAAGTATGTCACACAAATTTTAAAATGTCACATTTTTATCAGCCACCAGAGGAATCCATACATTTGGTGCATGTATATAAACCAATCTGCAGACTTGTTTCACACAAAGTAACTTCAGGTCACATCTGAAAACCATGTGCAGTACCGCACAGCAGGCCCACATGCTCCCCCCCCCCATCCCACACTGCCTGTTCTATATTTTGCTTTAGATGTTAGTCAAATCAGGGCTTGAGTTAACTAAGATTGCCCTGAAACCATGGTTTGCAGTCTACCAAAACTAATTTTACTTGCAGAGTTCTGTTTTTAAAATCAGATTTGGGTATTTCGTATGGATGTGGTATACACTTAGCTCCCCTCAATGAACTGAAGACATAGAGAGGCTTTTGTCTTTGCTGAAGCCCTCTCTTATTTTCCCACAGGATTTTGGGTCCCAAATATGCTAAGAATAAATTGTACTAAGGAAGGAAAACTATTCTCTGAGCCACTGCAGGTATATTAGGTCAAAGCTGCCTCCCAAATGCACCCTTTATAAGCCAGATGCCCTGCTCTCTGCTCTTCTGCCAACAGGAACATAGCAGGGGCCTATAAAAGACAGGGCCTTCTCTGCTGTGGTGCCTAACTCCTGAGAAACAGCTGATCAGCTTCCAGGAGGCAGCAGAAACTGCCCTGTTTCACAATGTTTTTCTGGATGCTGCTTTAAAGCAAGATCCTATCTGATACTGTGATGCTATCTGTTACTTTAATATTAATTTACTGATGCATATGGGTTGTTGTGTATTTCTATTGACCAATGTAAGTTATCTTGATTATTATAGTAAGGCAGGGTACAAATGCTGGAAATAGATAATGCCACTGAGCAAATGGGAACAGGTCACTCATTATAATAAAAGAGGAAGGAGGAATAGATCACAAGCAGAAGGACTAGATCACAGATATTGTTGGCGATTTGCCATCCGAGTCATAATCTAGGAAAGGTCAGAATTTTTAAAAAGGTCAAGCTCTCTTGGAACAGCAATATATATGATAAAGACTGCACTGCATCAAATGTATGCGAAAAGGCGTTTTGTTTTTCAAAGGTCTTATTTTTCATGCAACGCTTTTGAATTTGGACACACATTCAAGGCACTGATCTCTCAGCCTCGCTCTGCTTGCCTGCACTGTTGCTGCTGCCTCCCTTCTGATCCCCTTCCTCCTGTACTGCAGCAGCCACACAACCATCCCAGCCTTGTAAACCATTTGGAGACAATTATAGCTTTGCAGTACATAAATTGCTTAAATAATAAAAACAAATCAACAAACAAACATTATTTTAAGGTTGGAAAACACACCACAAATGCATCTGCAAGACTATAATCCATTAGATAAATTTTGGACTCTAGACCTAATGGTCTATGAAAAGTGGAGGTGGGGCTCTTTAGATGGTAATGGACATTATTCCAGACAATCTTACAGGGACCCATCTTTAATTCTTGCTTTGAAATGTGGCAAGCCAGTCCTGCTGCATCTAGGGGAACCCCCTGTCCAGAGGGGCCCAGGACTTCTGCCCCAATTCTATCCCTGACGGCAGCAACAGTGATGGCCCAGTGCTAAACATGACAGTGTAGGCATGACTCTCCTCTCCTTTTTAGCCGCAAAGGGCTACTAGCTCCTTAAGAGAGTTCCATGTATGCAACTGATGCTGCAGTGGACCAGCACTGCTCACATAGCTCTCTGGTGAGCAGCAGCAAGTACGTGGAGAGCACAGGGTGAATGTGTTGGTTGCCACTCCAGTGCTTGCCCATGGGCAATACCTGCTTGGCCCAATGGAGCAAAAAATTGCAGAGCAGCTTGGCGTTCATCAGGCAGCCAATAAGCTGCTTTTAAAACACAACAAAACTTAATTCTATGACCCAGTAAGATATCCCAAGAGAATGAGTTTTAGTGTTTGCGATGGAAGTCTGGGCTGCTAATTTAAGCATTCCTGCCTGACGATAGTGAGTTGTGCAATGCATACGTGTACTTAGTTCTTCATCCTTTGAAAGATATTACTGTATTAGATAGAAGCCCATGGCCAAGGAACATTCTCCTAGTCCCGTCTCACAGCTGAAGTGCACACTTGCTCTCAAAAAGTTTGCCAGTGTGGTGTTAGCGCCAGAAACTTCAGCTCCAAGCTTGGATGTTTCAGTAAGCATCTAGTTACTAAAATAATCACCGCATGTCCATAAATTAAGTGAGCCACAGATCTTTCCTCCTGATCCACTAATTTATTCCTTTTGCACTGAACCTTTTGCACTGAGCTGCAAGCTGTCCATTCACTATGTGACACTCTTAGACACAAAACCAGGATTTCCCTGCTGACTTGGTCTCTTCTTTATCAGTTAACTTTTCGTTACCAAGCAAGAGGAAGAAGGCAGATACCTATCTTGAAAAGCATGCCTCAACCAATGAACGGCACAGCAGAAACTACTTCAGATTTTCTGGTGCCAGATTAGGTTTTCCCCCAGGCCTTTTAAGGTTGCTGCAGCCTTTTAAATCTGTTTTAGATTTTCGGTTTCATTCTTTGCTCTTTTAGCTTTTGTTTTAAGGTCTTGATTTTTACCTCCTCCCATACTTTTATTGTACTCATTGTATGACTAATTTAAGCACAAAGCTTAAGTTTTCATTTATTTTATTTTAATTCTGTAAATGCCAAGAATGTTTATTATAGAGTGGCTTGCAAATGCCTTAAAAAAAAACACCAACCTCCTGGTTGGCAGTGGGGCTTCAGTGCTCTGCATACCTCTTGCACCACATCATTAAAAGAAACCAAAATAAAATCATGTAAACTAATGAAATTTGCAGAATAAGGGAAATTGTACAAAAAATGTGCTTTTTTTGCACTGTTAATAGAAAACACAGGGGTATTTATTTATTTATTTTGCCTTTCTTGTAATGCAGGGCTTTGACAATGAGCCTGTCTGCCATGACACTGGGATCATGACATCCTTCTCCAGGGGATGAGACCAGGAACTCAGGGTGGAAGATGGTCAGCCTCAAATTTACACTTGGAAAAAGAGGAGCCCATTGTGTCAGTACCTGTCCAGCTGCTGGATGCTGCATTGCCTTCCTCTGAGAACTCCAGCTCAGAAGCCTTAGAAGAACCACAGCCTTGCCTGCTCTGCCAGAGCCAGTGAATGATAAAGCAAGCAGAGTCCGTTTAAATGAAGGGGCTGCTCCCACGAAAGACAGAGCTAGCAACTCGGATAAACTGCAGCTCTAAGACCTAGTCTGGGGATGACTGCTGCTGAATACAGCCTCCAGCCTGGGCCACACACAGAACTGTCCAAAGTACCACCGAAGGCTTGCCTTTGTATTGCTGAGACCATCACTCAAAAAGGAATACTAGCATGAATTGTTTCAATCTAACACTTGAAGCCCAGATTCAGTGCTTTAATTGGATACCTGCTGCAGCATACTGTACACTATCTAGCCTCATGGCAAAACTGCTTCTCGACTGGTTCAGTAAACACATACTCAAAGCAAGTTGACAGAAAAAGAACACAGCAACTCTGATTCACCGTGGTGTTTTCATTCTTACAAACACCTTGTGGCAGATCCCCGCATGTAAAAATGGAGACAGAAAAACTCAGGTTCAGAAGTAGCTACTTGTCCCGGGCATTCAACAAGAACTGAAGCCATTGATCACATGAACGTTCAAGTCAGCCCTTAGTGCAGAGTATGACACAGTATTGTAGCTGCCGCCGACAAATAATTACATTCTGAAAAATCTTCATGAAGGTGATTGCTGACAGCTCTGAAGCATGTGGATTTGGAAATGCTGTTTCTGTTTCTTCCACCCTTTACAGCCCAGACTTCAAGGCTACTTTGGTCTGTTCTTGAATATCACAGGGCCAGATCACAGGGCTTTCGGGAACAATGCAAGTTTCTGCTTGTGCTTTCTACAGGCAATGAACACAAGGTGTTCCAAGGAAAAGGGCAGTTTGCCTTTTTAAAGCATGTTTCCCACACTCAAGTTAAGTTATGTGCAGGAGTGCTCAATCAGGACTGTTGGCTGCTGTCTAGACACAACTTTCCATCAGATAAAAGCTCTAACCAAAAACAGCTGTTAGTTTACTCTATTAAAAGAACAGGAATCTGATAATGATCCAAGTCAATTACTTGATTTCCTTCACTCTAATCATGAGGCCGAGGGGGCTGGATATCCAAGGCCACCATGACAACCAGCATTGTGGTCCATCTTCCATGTCCCCACCTCCCACATCCACTTAAGAGTAGAGAGTTGTGATTAAATGGTCTGTAAATCGTTCTAAACAAAACAAACGTAGTATCATTCTTAAAATTTTTCTCTTGTCGCCTGGGTGTGAAAAAATATCCTGACTGTGTAGTCTGCATCTGATGAACTCTAAGAATTCCAGATATACCTTCAATCTCTTGCACAACTCCTTGCACCAATTCCCTGCGGCTGCTATTTCCTCAGGACTCCACCTTCACATACATTTCAAGCTGCTTCTTGGTACATTGCCAGGAGGAGTTTGGACAAGAGTTTGTGATGGTGTGGGTGATATTCAACTAAGCTTTACTAAAAGCAGACTTGCTGAAATTAATTGACCTAACCTAGCCATGTTCATTCATTTCAGTGGGACCACTCTGAGGAAATTTTAGTTGAATAACACTCTGTGGAAGGAATTCAACATTGCCAGAGTGCTTGCTGGATGGAATAATTTTCCCTCTTCTCCCTCCACACATTGTTTTGGGTGTTCTCCTGATGCCTCCAAGTCAATTGGGGGGGGGAGTGGAGGGAGCTGGAGCTGGGGGACAGGAAAGCGGGGAAGCCCCGATGCACTAGTAAGCCCTGTGTACGCTGCCCTAAAATATTTCTAGCCCAGGACTCTTAGCAACCTTAGCTTGGAATTATTGTTGATTGTGTTGAACATTCCTAAATGGTACTGTGCTCTTTGATCTCATCATTAGCCACTTTCATCCACTTTCCCATCCAAAGATGGCAATGGCAGATGTATATACATCTATCAAAACCCTTTAGAAATTTTCCATCTCGGAGTCTCTAAAGGCAAGCCACTGAGTCACCAACAATTTGCATCACAAGTTTTTAAAGTCAGGCTGTACAAGATTCCTACCTTGTGTAGACCATAAAATGCTTACAGGCACAGAAGCCACATCCTTGATCTTTATCCAGCTGTTATTTCGTTGCCTGCTCCATGAAGAAATTACACAATAATAATCTCCTCTGTCTGCTTCAGAGGTCCACTGGATTCGTAAGCGGAAGGTGTCCACAGTTGGTTTAGAGAAAATAATTTCCCCATTCTGGGCCCGTTGTTTGCTTCTGTCCCCAACTACCAGCGTCCAGTCTGCATCCATGGTGGCAAGAAGTTCATCTTTCACTACTTCATCACTGCGCATAGGTAATCGGTAGTACCATGAGACAGTGAAACGCACATTTGTTTCAGTGTTCTGCGCCTCTGTGATCCTACATTCCAATTCTGTGGGATCTTCTGCATACTTAGGTGTTTTAGTCGCATTCAGAAACACATGGTAAGTTGGCTCTGCGGAGCATTTTGAAAAGCAGGGAGACAGACAAGGAAACAAAAGTATGAAATAAAGACCAATTCAGAATACAGGCTACATTTTCACATTTATCATTTCAGAACGGCAACATTCTTTTGGCATCTTGCAAGTCATGGCATAGGATGGGGCATTTACTACTTAGCTGGTGACAGTGGACCATGTAATTCCCAGAAATGGAGTATCTTCATGGCATGCAGCCTCAAGTCAAACAAAAGGCAGATTCTAAAGCCAATATTTAGTAAGTCACACTATACTGTAGGAATTTCATAATACAACATTTTGGTTACAGAACACTGCATTGCAATTGCAAAGTCTGCCTCTCAGGGAAATGTTTCATTTTAATGAACATGCTCCCCATTTTGGAAGGGCATGCCAAGAGCGTGTCAGGTTTCTGTACACTGCTTTACCATTCATTTTATTGCCCACTTCAGCGACCTTGGCAGAGGAAAGCTGGCACTAGAGCAAGCCAATATTGGAGAGCATCCCACATTTACTTGTTCCTGGTGTTGAATGCCAGTGCTAGAAACTGAATATACCCTTCAAGTTAACTTTACTGTTTTTTTTAAAATACAATTTCTGACAGTTTCATAATCACAAGTCTGAAAGAACTATGAAGGGCCTACTTTCTGCTCTTAGCAACCATATTTAGGATCCCAGAAAAGAAGGAATACAATGCACTACCAATATTTATAAAGGTCATGGAGGGAAAGCTAGTTAATGAGCCACAAAAAGGGCTGGGTTGGCCAATCATACCTCACCTTAATGTCAAGATCTGAATGAGGCTTATGGATGCACACACAGTTCCCTTGCTCCCCACTTTGCTACAGTTTACTACTTTGTCCAAACAAGGAAACTATGGTTAACAGTTTCTGAACAAGCCAGGATATGAAAACTTAGTTTGAAGTTGGATTGATACCCTTACTTGTTCCACAACAATTAATTTCCTGGTTTGGCTGATATAGGAAGCAATAGTTAATCAACGTCTCCCTGGTTTGTTAGCGGGAAGGGAGGAGCAAAAGAGCTGCTCATGTGCGGCCAAAAGGCTTGTTCTTGGCTCAGCATAATGGTATATGATAATCTGAACCAGCCCACATAATTCACTGGAGCAGCTTGCTTCCAAACAGAAGCACCAACAACATTTTCATGTCCTCATTAGGAAATAGAAGAAAGTTGAAGGTAAATGGGATGTCAGCTAATCATATCCAGCATTTGCAAGACCTATAGGGAATAGGATGGCTGGGGCAAGTTTTGGCTTTGACAGGAGTGCTCCAGCTAGTCTCTTCACACTGACTCTCAGACAGAGGATTTAGCAGGAAGGAATAAAAGGCTTGCTGGATAAGCCTCATTCCTGCACTCTTGTCAGCTGTCAAAGAACAGCCTTGCTGACAGTTCAACGACTTAATACCCTGCCAAGCTCTCAAACTTCAATCAAGTAGGAGGGGGCTGCTGTTGAATTTTGGATGCAGTTTATCTACTACAGATGAGAATTCCTCTCCTGCTTTTCCCACCCGCAGGCAATGTAAGATCATTTGAAAAACATTTTGCTCCTCCCCCTTAACCTGCATCAAAATAATTACTACGGTAATTTGGGATGCAAAGGCTAAGAAATTCCCAGTGACCAACCGAATACTTTCAATGCAGAAAAGAGGCACCCTATTCAAGGCAGCTTTTAAAGCTATGGATGCTTTCCAGATAATATTGGTATATTGGGACCATCGGCTGGGTGAGGACTGCAGGGCCTGCTCCCTTCCAGGGCCTTTTCCAACTGGCCCAGGGGGCGTGGCCCAGGCCCTTATTTGGAACAAACTTTTGGGGAAGTGTGGGAAGTGTTCTGCCATTGCTTCCCTGTTCCAGGTGGTTAATGTGCTTTAAAATGTCCTCAAGCAGTCGGTGGCAATTTAAAATTTTATTCCTTTTTTCCCTTTTTTCCTTTGTTGGGGGTGGGTGGGTGGGATGGATAGTTGGTTGGGGATTAATTTTAGTATAATTGTTCTGTTCCTTTTTGTTGTTGTTGTTTTATTGGTTCTGTATAGTTTGTGTTTTGTTTTTAAGGGGCAGGATCAGGGCTGCCTAGGAGTGGCTCCCCAGCCAACACGATGGCTGGGACAAGTTCCACGAGGGGGAAGCACTGGGACATCCGATCTCGGTGATCATGGGCAGGAGGCGGAGTTACGCTAAGACCAGACCATGTCATTACCGAGGAGGCAGGTTTAGTCGTTGTTTGAAGACTATCCCTGCCTCCGGGTCTGGCCTTGATCGGATGGATACTGGAATCAACAGGGGAAACCCACATGACCTGAAAGTGTTGCTGTGCAATGCCAGGTCAATGATGAATAAAACCACTGCCATCCACGACTTGATTGTGGATGGAGGATTTGACCTGGCATGTGTGACAGAGACCTGGTTGGAGGAAGCAGATGGGCCTGTCCTTGCCGCTGCTTGCCCACCAGGTTTCTCTTACGCACAGCAACCCAGGTCATGTGGGTGGGGAGGGGGGGTTGCAGTGATTTTTAGGAAGTCACTAGCTTGCACCAGGCGTCCTACTGGGAAGATCCAGTTCTCTGAGTGCATGTTCTGGAAGTTGGGCAATAGGGGCAGTACAGGATTCCTTTTGGTGTACCGACCTCCCCGCTGCACCAAGGATTCCCTGTCCGAGCTGCTTCAGGTCGTGGCGGATTTTCTCCTGGAGACACCTAGTTTGGTTGTCCTAGGGGATTTTAACATCCATGCCGACACGACCTTACAAGGGGCTGCTCGGGACTTCGTGGAAAGCATGGCCTCCATGGGGCTGTCCCTGAATAAGTTTGGCCCAACTCATAGTCATGGACATGCCTTAGACCTGGTGTTCACCTCTAGTGACGTGGGTGATCTGACACTAAGTAAAAGTGAAACAAAAGAAGTGCCATGGTCAGATCACTTCCTGGTGCAACTGGACTTCTCCGCGACCCTTCCCCTCTGCAGGGAGGTGGGACCAATTCGGATGGTCCGCCCCCGCCACTTAATGGATCCAAATGGTTTCCAGAGAGTGGTAGGGGATGCTTTAGCCCATGTTGATGGCCTTTCAGCTGATTCCCTGGTGGCCCGCTGGAATGCGGAGTTAACCAGGGCTATCGACTGTCTGGCTCTGAAGCGCCCTCTCCGATTGCATGGAGCCCGGGCAGCCCCATGGTTTTCTTCGGAGCTGAGGGCGATGAAACTATGAAGACTTTCTTCACCGCCTCTATTGCATCTGCAGAAAATAGTAGCAGGAGACTCTTTCAGGTGGTTCGCAATTTAACGGAACCACCTTTACCACCGGGGCCTTGTAAAGACCCCAAGATCTCCTGCAACGATTTTGCAAAGTTTTTTTGCAGATAAAATCACTCATATTCGGAAGGAGCTAGACACCACCGTGGGAGCAGGGCCGGGGCGGGAGAGTGCTAGAGCTCTGTCTGGTCAAGTTGCATGGAATCAATTTCAATCCGTTACCGCCGAGGATGTGGACAGGCTGCTTGGACACGTGAAACCAACCACCTGTCTCCTTGATCCTTCCCCATCCTGGCTAATAAAAGCAAGCCGGGAAGGGCTGGGTGATGGGCTCTGCGGGGTGGTGAATGCTTCCCTCTGTGAGGGAACATTCCCAGATCTGCTGAAAGAGGCAGTCATTAAACCGCTTCTTAAAAAACCATCTTTAGACCCGGCCAGTATGGCCAACTATCGCCCAGTCTCAAATCTTCCATTCTTGGGCAAGGTGATTGAGCGCGTGGTTGCTGAACAACTCCAGGCACGCCTGGAGGATGCGGACCATTTGGAACCCTTCCAAGCGGGATTCAGGCCTCACCATGGGACTGAAACTGCCTTGGTCGCGCTGGTTGATGATCTCTGGCGGGCTAGGGACAAAGGTGAGAGTTGTTTCCTGGTTCTGCTGGATCTCTCAGCGGCCTTTGATACAATCGACCATAACATCCTTCTGGACCGTCTAGAGGGGCTGGGAGCTGGGGGCACTGTTATACAGTGGTTTCTCTCCTTCCTCCTGGGCCGTGTTCAGAAAGTGGTGGTGGGGGATGAGTGTTCAGACCCCTGGGCCCTCACTTGTGGGGTGCCTCAGGGTTCCGTCCTCTCCCCCATGGTTTTTAACATCTATATGAAGCCGCTGGGAGAGATCATCAGGGGATTTGGACTGGGTGTCCATCAATATGCAGATGATACCCAGCTCTACCTCTCTTTCAAATCAGAACCAGTGAAGGCGGTGAAGGTCCTGTGTGAGTGCCTGGAGGCGGTTGGAGGATGGATGGCGGCTAATGGATTGAAGTTGAATCCTGACAAGACAGAAGTATTATTTTTGGGGGACAGTGGGCGGGCTGGTGTGGAGGATTCTCTGGTCCTGAATGGGGTAACTGTGCCCCTGAAGGACCAGGTGCGCAGCCTGGGTGTCATTTTGGACTCACAGCTGTCCATGGAGGCGCAGGTCAATTCTGTATCCAGGGCAGCTGTCTACCAACTCCACCTGGTACGCAGGCTGAGACCCTACCTGCCCACGGACTGTCTCGCCAGAGTGGTGCATGCTCTAGTTATCTCCCGCTTGGACTACTGCAATGCGCTCTACGTGGGGCTACCTTTGAAGGTGACTCGAAACTACAACTAATCCAGAATGCGGCAGCTAGACTGGTGAGGGGCGGCCGCCGAGACCACATAACACCGGTCTTGAAAGACCTACATTGGCTCCCAGTACGTTTCCGAGCACAATTCAAAGTGCTGGTGTTGACCTTTAAAGCCCTAAACGGCCTCGGCCCAGTATACCTGAAGGAGCATCTCCACCCCCATCGTTCTGCCCAGACGCTGAGGTCCAGCGCCGAGGGCCTTCTGGCGGTTCCCTCATTGCGAGAAGCAAAGCTACAGGGAACCAGGCAGAGGGCCTTCTCGGTAGTGGCGCCCGCCCTGTGGAACGCCCTCCCATCAGATGTCAAAGCGATAAATAACTACCTGACATTTAGAAGACATCTTAAGGCAGCCCTGTTCAGGAAGTTTTTAATCTGTGATATTTTACTGTATTTTTGGTTTCTATGGAAGCCGCCCAGAGTGGCTGGGGAAACCCAGCCAGATGGGCGGGGTGCAAATAATAAATTATTATTATTATTATTATTATTATATTGGTAACAGAAGTACACTGAGTGTACAGAATCAGTGGCACCTCTCTGTTTAGTTGCATTCGGTGGGATGTCTGTTGGATGAGAAGAATAAGAGACAAGCTCTCTATCATAATTAGGCCTACAGCAAGCAGGATGGAAATCATTAGGCCATCTTGAGATTTCCTTTCCTTTCCTTTCAAAACTTGCACAGCTTATTCTCCTTCCTCTAAGGCTATAATTCTAAACTAACCTATCAGCCTATTGAACTCAATGGCTGCATTTACACATAGCGCTAAATACTAACTGAAGTTTCATAAACCATGCTAGGTAGTGCACAAGGGCTGTTTCACTATTCTAGTCCTTGAGAGCAGAGAAACAAATAATAAAAAGGCAGCTGGCTTAGTTTCATCCAAATCCAAGGTTGTGGTTTGCATTGCCCAAACAAACCAACATCACTAGCCGGGCTTACACCATTATTTGTTATCAGCTTATACTCTTGGGCTTGCTATTAAACGGTAACGCAGCCAAAGAGATTTACTTGCAGATAAACATGTTTAAAATTGGATTGTACAAATACTGCAGAAGTGGATTTTCAGCTGTCTTGGCTCTCTGAAGTACAAGAGATGCTGTGGCTGTCAGGACTGGGTTACCATCAACCAGATCTCCGATTGTGCTACGATAGCATTCAGAAGTGTATATGCACAATGCTTGAATTTCAGCAGAGTATAAGTAGAAATGCTTGCTCCCACTGCTTGAAAGGCTGTCAAGAATCATCTGGCTCCTAATTGCAAAGTCAAAAGCCAGAAACTTAATTTTTTAAATTATCCTCTAAGAGATGCTGACACGTCAAGGCAAACTCTACAGAACAACATGGTTCTTTAGAAATTTGTGCTAGGGTTTCAGTTTTCCATATCTCTCCTGCCTGGATGCTCATTTCCTAGAACATCTGCATAAAAAGCAGATCTCAGTAGCTTAAGAGTTCAGCCAGGAAAACAGAGTTAGTGAAAACACAGTTCTCCATAAAGTCAAAGCAGAATATTGGGGTAGGGAAAAGTGAAAAACACTGTTTTTGTCTAGACAAACTTCTGGTTCACCTCCTAATCTTTCCATATGATATAATGTCCATTAAATAATAGAAAGTGATCTATATTATTCTTAGGATTTCCCCAAGGAAATCTGGCAGATCTGCCAACGGGTCTGAAAGAACCATTATAGTAGTGACTGTGGGATTAGCCCAGTCGTCCAAGCCACACTCAAGAACAACAAATCAGAGCACAAGAAGGTGTCTAGATGAGTCGCTGGACTACCTGAGACCAGATTCTACTATGCAGCTTTGCCAAACGATACTATCTTCCTGATAGAAACTATAGATGTGGCCTTCAGAACAAGTGTGCATTTGACTATATTTTTATTTATCAGTTGTTTCCCTTCCTGTCTCTTGTCTTTGGAGCAAACACATTTTATTTTGGTTTTTTTAAAAAGAAGAACTTAAAACAGTACGGAACATTTCCAGCTAAAAAAACTGAACAATTTTGAATTTTCTCTTTGGATGACTAATGGGAAAAATTACATTGCTACAGAGGATGGCAGCCCATGTATTTTCAGGCAGGCTGCTAAAGAAGACCGAGACTTAACAACAACCAGCACCGCATAAGTCTGTTTTATGTCATGGCAGGTCCTGTGGGGATTTCCAGCTTATATATCCCACCAACACCACCTTTGGGCTTGTTGAAAGCTTTTGAATGTCCCCTCTCTCTTCCAAGACAGGGATCACTTTAAATATTAAGACTATTCCATCTTTGTGTTCTTTTAAGTCAAGTTAAAGAGCCACATTAGATTAGAACAAACATTTCATTTTAAAATGTTTTCTCAGGACTGACACATTAGACACAAAAAGGCATCCATGGCTAGTCATGAAAAAAGCCCAGGATGGCTGGTATAGTTAAGAGACCATGTTGGACACACCACCATTGAGCATGAACTGGTAAGTCTTAAAAGGGTTTAGCATTTTTAAGAACTACATAATTTTCTTCCAACACAGAGTCCAGGGCAGGAGGGATCACTCCTATTGAATGCCATTTTCTGTTCACTTCCATATTGTGGTATAAACCCAGGATAGAAAACTTGTGGACCTCCAAAGGTTGTTGGGACTACAGCTGCCATTATCACTTTGCCACTGGGTCATACTGGCAGGGACTGATGCAAGTTCAAAGCACACCGCCTCTGGAGGGCCACAGGTTCCCTATCATTACACAAGAAAAATTATCCATCAACTTTATAGCATCACCACCCAGCTACTCACCTAATGCCAACACCTCCACAGTGACAGGCACAGATGTCCTCTCTGCTACCTTGTGCCAGCTACCATTGTGCTGTGGCACCCAGAGAGTTGCTTGGCAGTAGTAGTAACCAGAATCTTCAGTGCTCACATCACGTACCAATAGGTGGTAAGAACTCCGATCCACATGGCTGAGGCTGATGAGGGTAGAATCACTAACAACAGAATCACGGTCTGCACTTAGCAAAACCTGAGCTTCTGCCATGGTGCTATCAGGTGATTCACTGAAGTACCACCTGACCTCTGCTTGGAAAATACCACTTCTGTCTGTTGTGAAGTTGCAGGTAAGGTCAAGGGAGTCCCCCTCTGTCACAGATACATTGCTTTTGGTGATGAACACACCTAAAGCTTTTGGCAGGAGGGAAGCAAGACAAAAATGTGTTATTTTCAACTCTTTAATACAGCAGGTAGCATAACTGTTGGCTTCTACTGCCTGCTTTTTTAATTAGTGGCCTACATATTTACAGGCAAAGCTCACATATATTATTGCTGAACTATAGAAAAACAGGCAGTGAACTTTTTTTCCCAAGTTTCACTACTTATCTAATTCTATGTTCTGAAGCAAATCATTGTGCAATTTCAGTTTTCTTAGAATAAAAAACCAGCTAGCTTTGCCTTGTGCATGGATATGCAAGGACACAACAATTTTTTCTAATCAAATTCACTGTCAATCCAGCTTCACACAATTTACGTCTAGCTATAACATCGTTCCAACAGAAGGTGTTCCAAGTGGCTCTACATTTTGCTACATACAATTAATCCTCCTGGGGGAAAAAAACACCTCACATGCCTACCTACTCCAACATAACAAGCATTATAACTTCAAGCACAGGGAAGATCAAGGGGGTCTCTCACCATCACAGAGATGTTGTTTCTCATAATGAATACACCTAAAGCCAAGACACACTCCCAAAGGAGTACAAATCAGATTTTACAAGCTAACTACTATGAAGAACTGAACCACATCTGAATGATTGTTGTGGCATTTTCAAATTCTCTGTGTGGTGATTAAAGGATTGCAAGTCCAGTATGAGCATACTTGCAAAAACATATAATTTCATTTTGCCGCCAAGAAGCCAACTTGCTTATTCTTCCTTCTCCAAAATTACCACTGTATACATTTTGCAGCCTGGCATGATCCTTCAAAGCACATGCATTGCACACAGGTATATTTAAACAAAGGAAGGGGAACAGTCATTTAAAGACTACTGTCTAGTAGCTAAGCTATTGGGGCGAAAGTTGTGAACTTAAAACAACTGTAGATTTAAATTCTCCTTTAGCCCTAGGCAATCCCCAAAGCCAGGTAACAAGACCTTTTACACAAATATCCTATACAAACTACTGAAAAAGAAAAGAGTCCTCTGTTATGAAGCCTAGGTTTTAAATAGATTCCAAACACACCTATGCAGTAGGTATTCAAAGAAAATACAACTATCTAAGTTCTTATTTGCAGTGCCTTCACAACGTATCTAACACATGTACTGAGGAAAGTATACACTGTTACTATGTTATATACTGTGCTGAGATACTTAAGGGGGAAGCCACTATGGCTTTACACCCAATGTTGGTGGCCTGCACATTCTGTCCCACAGCCACAATGGTGTTACAGCATAGATGCTGATACAGGCAACATCATTTCATGAATCTGCATGCTCACCTGTTGGCTGCACCACCACATTTGTTATATCCACAGCCTTCTCTTGGATCTTCTGCCATGAAGCATCTGCACCTTTAACCCATTCACTCACTCGACACCTATAGGCACCTTCATCTGTTGGAAGAGCTTGGGACACAGACAAGCGGTAAATGTCATTGGCCATGGCATCTAAACGCACATCTCCACTGATATAGCGCTCGTTATACTCTGAACCAGGCTGGAACTTGCCCTCATGCGTCAAGGAGAGAATTTCTTGCCAGGCAAACCCGTTTCTGAATTCCCAAGACACGTGCAGATGTGTGTGTTCTGAAGAATTGGTGGACGCTGAGCAGCGCAACTGAAACGCATCTCCTTCCGATAAGTTCCAAGTAGATGTGGAGCGGGCTGTTGATCTACCAACGGTTAAGCCATCCGCAATCACTATTCGGAGAAAAGAAAGTTATCAAGCGTGTGGGTTATAATAAATGGCTTTACATAAAGCAACGATGAAACAGAGTCAAGCTGTGGTAGATTGTCATGAAAGAGATGACTAATTATGCAGCATAATGAGTACGCTGAGCCAAAACAAATCACTCACATTGGAAAACATGAGCAAAAAAGTGTTTTCACACACCACACTTTCTCCCTTAACTCAATCAATTATTCAGCTTCAGAAAGACCTCCACCCACAATTACCTCTTCAAGTAAATCTATTAGCAGAGAAACTTCCCCTTCCAGTATGCTTTGTTTAGAAACAAATGTCAGCGAAGAAGGGTGGGGGAGACTGGAATATAACAGGAGCTATTCTGAGCATTTTGCTTTGTTTTATAAATTCAAGTGATCCTGTTGAGATAGTCACCAACCCACTGCTTCAATTAAGCAAACACAGGACAGTGCTATGGCAGCAATGGGACATGGGGCACTGTCTACCTTCAGGTTATACAAAAGTGTATTTGGCTAGATTGCATCTACTCCAGCCATTTCACATATCGCTTGCAAAATTACACTAAGACCCAATACCAATTGTAAATACCCCTCACCCTTTAGAAGTACCTTTGACTTCGACTACAGCATTGTAATTTCCCTGAACGACAGAATCTGTGCTGGGCGTTGTGCATCGGTACATCCCTTGGTCAGCGGGGCGGATGTTTCCAATCACGAGTTCCACAGAGTTGTTGCTGTTTCGCCTCAACGTGATCTCTTTACCGTCAACCCGATCTTTATACTCCTGAGACGTGAACCAAGGGTCCCAAGTACTCACTACTTGTACAAATCTAGAGTCCGGAGCAGAGATTCTAGAGAACTCCCAGTCAAAGTTCTGCTCGCTGGGTCCTTCATATTGACTAACGTTGCATGGAATCACCACCTCTGTGCTCTCAACTCGCACTAGAGGACCTGCAGGCACCTTCACAATACGCCCGTGGCAGGAAGCTGGGGGGGGGGGGGACAAAGGATTGTAAGTTAAAATTGCAAGAGAGAGAGAGAGAAATACACACACACACATATACATAAAGGGAGCCGTGGGGAAGCAGGAAAGTAAAAAGGACACTATGGTTTGCCGTTTAATTGATGGTATATTGGAATGTTTAAGGTGAAAATGTTTGTCAGTGAATTAGGAGAGTGCGCAGTGGGTTGAAATGGCGGAGGGCAAGATCAAATCCTTGCTTAGTTGTGAAATGTAATGGGTGGCCTTTGGGACATTGCTCCTCTTCACTACATCCATATTCGACTTGTCATTGGATGCCATCTGGGATTGTGAATACTGTCAGCCACAATTTAAGAATTCTTGTTCTTTCCACAAACATGATTTCCTTGATCCTCCCTTTCATCTGCACTATGTACAGCTCCACTTTAGAAGAGTTAACAAAACTGAGTCAAGAATTTAAAAGAGTCCAATTACCACCTCATCTAGTTTGCAGATGAAATGGTGTGTCTTGTTTCAGAAACAGAAGTAATTTGAAATGAGCTGCCTGTCCATGACTGAAAAGAGAGACACCAATTCTGGTGATAGTCTGGATATTCTGAAGGTTTTAACCATTTAGGTTAAAGAGGCATGTCACCAAGGGTTTGTTTCCTTTGCAGCATTTTAATGTTTTAGACATCTCTCAACAGTTAATGCTATTAACATTTTCATTGCTGTGATAAGTTGTGGACTTAAGTGATTATTTAATGTTAACAGAAGAGGAAGTTCAAAACTGCAACTTTGAATCAAATTACAAAGTATGCCTTGTGCTTTTCTTCTATAAATAGCAATCAAAGAATTTCTCCTGCTTCTCTTTTATTCATAGTAAACAAAACATCCTGGAATCCTATAGACACAAAAGTATCATCTATCAAATTTCAGCAGTGTTGCAATTTGAATCATTTCACAATGCTTGTGTTTTTGATGCATGATCATGTAAATATATATAAAAGACAACAGCATGGAGTGGGAGAGATCTCTGCCCCCTACAGCCCTTGAGCTTTCATCGTAAGAATGACACCCAAATTTTGAGGTTTCAAATATTCCAAATGGAAGACACAAAAGAAATGCAACCTTTATTTCCCATCTCAGGGTTCACTGGTGTCAAGCATCTAGAGCTGCTGCTGGAGAGACAGGAAGCAAGACGACATACAGGGCACTAAGCATACCCTACATAATCCATTGTCTGCAGCCATGCCCCATGGCAGAACTGCATCTGTTTCTGACTGACAAAGACTCACAAGTTAGGGATTTACATCATGACAAGACGACCTGACTGATAACTCAGGAACAACCTACAGTGGTACCTCGAGTTACAAACACCTCAGGTTACAAACGCTTCAGGTAACTCCACTAACCTAGAAGAGTTACCTCGAGTTGAGAACTTTGCCCCAGGATGAGAATGGAAATCGTGTGCCAGCGGCGCAGCAGTAGCAAGAGGCCCCATTAGCGAAAGCACGCCTCTAGTTAAGAACAGTTTCAGGTTAAGAACAGACCTCCAGAACAAATTAAGTTCCTAACTAGAGGTACCACTGTATTACAGGACAGCCCTGGAAGAGAAAGTGACAGAGCCATTTGTTGTCCATCTAAATCACCCCAATGTATCAATGATCAACAGCTTATCCTGGGTAATTATATCTTCTTCACCCAGGCCTTTGGTGGTAGGGAAGCATTTTCTTAGAGACAGCCCCCACCCCACCCTAAAACAGCTGCTTACCAGCTACAATAGACACAAATATAGGGATCAGACCCTGGAGCAAGCACAGATATGTCCACATATCTACTCAGGCAACACTATTACTGGACATAATAATGTCAGCCACGACATGATCTTTCACATACAAGATGTGTACAGTGTGAAAAATGCTAAGCCGCTGTTCTAAGAATGAAACAGTGTAAATAATTCTCTAGTTGTAAATTAACGCTGCATAGTGGCCAGTTTTGAGGTCCAGTTTAGGAAGTATATGAAGTAGCATCAACAGGAAACTCAATTTAAAATCAATGATAATTAGCCTTATATCTTGCTGATTTAAATCACTTTGGTCTGAATCAATTCACCCTGCACAGAAGAACACTGAGCCTCGTTAAATATGTTAGCTGCTCCTCACAATTCCTAAGTGTTTCAGTCAGCCATGTGGAAAGCCAAAACCTCTTCTGCCTTGCAGTGGGCTTGTTTTGAAGCCCAAAAATCTCCAAGAGCTACAAATGGGCTTTGGTAGGATCTCTCATTTCCTAAGAATGCTAAGCAAGCACTGCTTTTATTTGCAGCTCAAGACTTTCCATAAAAGGAATAACCATTTCCGCTGCAGAGATGCTTCAATTTCAGCCTCCAAACAAAATCACTTTAAGGATGTCTAATCCCACACTGTCATGTGTGTGCTTGGTTTCTTGCAGGACTGTCAGAGTAGCACCCCAAAATGCTGCAACAGCTCAACAGCAATTCTCAATACCACAACAGCCTTAAACATAGACAGAGTTTCCCTAGACAATTAGGGCTAGGGAAAGCCGTAGGATAAAGGTGTGGAAGCCAGTATTACATCAGCTTTCTTCACCCAGGAAAGCAAGCTGGCAGCTGAGGAAGCATTTCAGCAGCCTTCAAGGAAGGCAGGGTGGGTCTGGGAAGGCCCATGGCAGCACATGAATGGACAAGATAGCAACTACTGTCACCACCTGGAGTGGACCGAATTAACTTTACTCTCCCTGATTACTTCACAATATTGTGGTGAGCACATGAGTCCTTTATTCACTGCCTCCTGTTTCCTTTTCTTTCCCTTTTGCCATCCCCCCCTCTCCTTGAGTGTGTAGTTTCCGTGTCTGTGCTTTCTTTGAGTGTGTGGCTCCTTTGGCTGTTTTATTGGTGGCAGTTAGCGAGAGGCAGGAGCCTAAACCGGCTCCTGACTCCTCAGCACTTCCACTGAGCAGCCGTGGTTCTGGCCCGCTCCTCCAACAGTAGATCTGACTGTGCAGTTACCTCTCCCTGCCCTGCCAGCTCAGTCTCACAGCAAGCTCAGCAGCGGACAGTGGTCTTTCGTTTTCCCCCAACATGCTGCCATGCCAAGCGGCAGCTGTCAGCAACTCTAGCCGTCTTGTAGCCTTGTCACCAACCAGCAGCCCTTTCCAGAACCCGTTCATTCTCTCGCCTTGTCCTACCCACCCCTCCCTCTCAGACAACTGCAGCAGGCCATTTTGGGCCAGACCTTAGGAGCTGCCACTACTGCTACTGCCCCACTTCTCTCCCCCTCACTCCTTTCCCATTATCCCCAAGATGGGCCAGGTTGGGCAGGGAGAGATGAAAGAATGGGGGAGAGAAAGAGGTCCCCACGGGAGGTCACGCCCACCCTGTTCAGTCCCACTTCCTGTATTCTTAAGAAAACAACCTACAATTCCCAGGAGTCTGCCATTTCCTTATTTGCCTCAGGTGAGAAAATGTATTTGGCTGGCCCTGACTCTAAGGCATCCCCAACCTGCGGCCCTCCAGATGTTTTGGCCTACAACTCCCATGATCCCTAGCTAACAAGACCAGTGCTCAGGGATGATGGGAATTGTAGTCCAAAACATCTGGAGGGCTGAAGGTTGGGGATGCCTGCCCTAAGAGAACTTCCTGGGCCAGAGATGGGATGGCCCTCCAGATGTCTATGGACCACATCCCTGGCCATTGGTCATGGAGTCTAAGAACAACTGAGAACAGCAGGTTCCCTATCCATGAGTTAAGCCCTGCTCAGTCACCAAGGTCTTCCTAAGCTCTGGCATGTTTCTATATATTTTCATTGTTCCCTTCGGCCCTGATTTGCTCTTCAGCCCAGACTCCTGTTTCCTTCCCACGACTGCTGGTTCCCAGCACCCAGCTCACATCAGACTGCTGCACCCTGGCCCTGAACCAAGGTTCTTTCTTTTACCCGGTATCCTTATAGATTGAAATGCAAGAGACTGAACTTGGGAGCTTCTACATAGAAAGGGTCTCTATATAAAATTACGAATGGTGTGGTGCCATCCAGTGAAACTGAACGGTGGGAGATTCAGGACAGACCAAACAAATACTTCACAAAGTACACAGTTAGAATTATGGGATTTGCTTCCACAAGATGTAGCAATGGTGAGCAACGTGGATGGCTTTAAAAGGGGAGGAGACAGATTCATGGGCAACAAGACCATCAATGGACTGTAGTTATGATGGCTGTATATCATCTCCAGTATCAGAGGCAGCATGCTCCTGGAAGCCAGTTGCTATGAGAAATGAGTGGTAGGGGTCTATTGTATTCATGCGCTGCTTGTGGGTTTCCCTTAAGCATCTGGTTGGCCAATGTGGGAACATACTGCTGAACTAGATAGGACTTTTGTCTGGTCCAGCAGAGTTCATCTCGTGTTATTATTAAAGCATATGTTTTTACCAGTGAGCTATGGCCCCTTGCTGCCAATAATTATTTGACAGTGACAATAATTATTTCTCTCCATTCTATGAAGCATATGCTGCACAATCCATTCCTGTCGATAATGGCCTCTGTTTCACTGAACTGATTATTCCAGTGTTACCTCTGACAACTACGATTCAAGTCACATATGATCAGGATCCCATTCTGCAGGCCATCAGGAACATTAGCCAATATTAAAAGCAGGCACGCAACCCATGAGAGTTTTCTGTAACAGCCCAGCCAACCAATAAAACAGATTATTACATCATCTTCACCACAGCATTTCTTGTAATGCACTTTCCTCAGGGCATATCTAGCCAGACACAGAAATACATTTTGCAAGGACATTTATTTCTACTGTACATCTGCATAATACAGCAGGGTTAATGCTGTGGGAACCAGAGATAACTTCACAGTTCATATGTCATAACATTTTTAACCTTGGTGATGTAATAATCCCAAGTACTTTGCATGTGATTAAATAGAAATCTAATGATACAAACTGCTAAAAGGGGAACATTTTAACTTTGAAAAAAGTAGAAGGGGTACAAATAAGGCAGGGGAGGAGATACAGGGTTTTGGAGGATTTGCTGAGTACCACACATCAATAATTTTAGTCTCCAATTTGAGCCACACAAGCATCTCAGACAACTATAGCATTAAACTATAGCATTAAAACAACTATAGGGAAGCTGACAGGAAAGTCCAGATTTTACCTATCAGCCATCCTTTAGCTGACACTGTCCTCATAAAACCTGTTCAGTCAAGTGTGTTCTCACTAGTAAAGAATCTAGCTGCTTGCCGACAGCTTCCACCAAATCAACATTTAGTGCAGAGATGTTCAATGTTGAGGCTAAGGAGAAAGATTCACACACACAAATACACACACACCCTACCACAACCAGATAACCAGGCACAATCCAAATATTCTGGGGTTGACAATAGTTTTTTAAAAAAAACAATCAAGTTATTACAGAAAAACATAGTGTTCCGTGGTTCTCACAGAAGATGCTCACATTTCTAACAAACAGGAAGTTTCATTTTTCTTTGGGCTGCAGATTGTAGTTGCTCATCCCCAAAACAGCAACATTCCAAAATGGAGACATCAAAGGAATTATTTCTAACAAGGCCTGCATATTTATACTAGGATTAGCAGGTTCTGTTCAACCTACCATCCTTGCAAAGGTCAGTGAGGCTCTCTTCTATGTCAACTAAAGCACTGAATCTTGAAGCACTTGGTGAGAAGGGGGAAGCAAAAGGTTGTTCTGCCTTCAAAAGGAACAGAGGAGGAAAAGAACACTGCTTATAAGAATTTTCTGAAGGGTTTTAAGAAAATTGAATCTGGCATAAGAAAAGGAATTAGCTGCTGTCTATAAATGATTCAAACCTTCAGGGTTCTGTCTGATTTAACTCAGATTTATCCACAGTACTAACAAAACAACTTCAGGTATATTACACAGCCAATATACTATGTTGCAGACTCTGACTAAGTCAAAGACAACATCCCCGCCCCTGCTTCCTTTTCCCTCCTGTCACCGATGCCCCCCACTTTAAAAAAAAACACCCCGGAACAAAATGTGAACCATTATTGCAAAATTTGTTGAACCTGAATACCAATGCCCCAATACGTAAAGCACACACGTTAATTATAAAAGCTACTTCTTCAGAATAAGGGTTCAATTAAAGTGATAGTGGTACATACACTGGCACAAACACAATTTTATAAATAAGCATCCAGTTTGTTTTAAAAGCATATTATACTATAACATGAAAAATAAAATACGAAGTGATTCCCCCCCTGCCATGACCCACTTAATAAGCCTGAGGGCCACACATATTGCCTTCCCCTGCATTAGTGATTTTTATCCTTCCCAACTCTGGATATTTTAAAGCAGCAGCACATTCTAAGGTTTGCATAAAAATCTCCATACAGGTTATGGGGTGTTCATTTTTCTGTTGCTGAGTGAGCTCTGTTCCCCTCAATTGTATTCCCTCAAAAGCACACATATACTGCCTTCTACCTATCCTATCTACCTCCCCCGTCACTGAGCCAAGTGGACTATCCACTTTTGTGGTTTCCCCCCAAATGCATCGTAGGTTCATCTGCTCAAGCGTTCATTCAGCAGGGCTTTGGGGTTTTCTTAAGCCCCCTTTTAACCTTTTTTTTAAACCCAGGGCCTGTAAAGGGGAGAGATGTTTTCTGCCGCTTGTGTGACATGGGAGGCAAATTCTGTATGGGGGGGAGCGAGGTTGACTATAATGATACAAGGTGATGCAGGAGCTCCTCAAGTTCACCCTCCTTTTATGAAAAGCAGTGGCAGTGGCAGAAATGCAATCAACAGCTGCATTCTATCCTCAAGAATGTCTGATTAGGAACAATGTTATATCAAAGGGGCATTGTTGGGGGGAAATGATGGTTGCCCCCATGGGCTAACTACCTCCCAATAATGCCAGTATTCAGCAGTGGCATTCAGACACACACACACACACACTTTCTGAAAGAGTCTAGGCCAAATACTCAGCCCAACTCTTATTAAAAACTGCTTTGAGGCATCTCCATGACTGATGCCAAGGGTTGGCTAATCAGTGCTTTGCAAATCCTGCTCCTGCTGAAAGCAAGAACAGTCTGCATTGTGGGGGTTGGGGGGAAGGGTGCATATATGAGCAAGATGCATCAAGTATCGTTCCAAAGCAGGCTCACTGCTAAAGTTATATACATCTGTATACACCTTAAAATGCATGCACTCACCTGGCCACCCACTGCTTCCAAGATACAACGATGGCTACTAACCAAGAATCTGAACACAATGCATTTAGTATTTAAATTACAACCCTCCATTTCATTTTGTTATAGCATGTTTTCATAATAGCCTCCTCTGTACCAATTATCTAGAGTACATTGCTTTCTTGTGCTCATAATTTTTTAGCCATGCTATCTATCCTTTAGGTCATTTGCAAATATGATAAAAGCCAATGTCTTATGCTCTTCCATCATGGTGAAAATAAATTCGGAAAAAACTTTCTGACAGTAAGAGCTGTTCGGCAGTGGAACAGACTTCCACGAGAGGTGGTAGACTCTCCTTCCTTGGAGGTTTTTAAACAGAGGTTGGATGGCCATCTGCCGTGGGTGCTTTAGCTGAGATTCCTGCATTGAAAGTTGGACTAGATAACCCTTGGATCCTTTCCAACTCTGAGATTCTATGATTCTATATGAAAGGCGCTGTGGCTACAACTGGCTTCTTCGGGGCCAAATGAAAAATACCTTCAGTAGGATCCTATATATGTTTATTCAGATGCAAGTTTCGTTTGACCCTACTCCCACATAAGTATAGGATAGCAGTCTTAAATTACTTTTCTCAGTAATTTTCAACTTCACCCCACTAACCGTTCCCAGCACTTCATTTAGATACTCCCCAGAGATTTGCTTTCCATGTCCTTCTGATATGTCACAATGCACAGTTTTCTGTGTACTTCTGTGCATGGTACCATATTCCTAGATGATTATTTAGACTACTTGTTTTGTTATCTGTCACAACGCATTTTTTAATAACACCAGAGCAGGTGGCTCCTTCTTCAGTAAGTTGCGATCAAAAATTGCACTGCCACAAATATCCAAAAACACACAATTTAGATGTGCACTTGTACGCATAGTGCTAACATGTGCACATGGAGGAAACAGTGGACCCCGGTGTGTCAAAAGCACATGCAAAGCGATGTGATAAACTCAAATGTAATTCATCAGCTCTTCTGTGGCATTGCAATCCTGTTTCTAAACTTGTTAAGAACTAACCTCAGCAATTATTTCCCACCAACCTTCCCCACAAATGAAAGAAGAAGAAAAAGCTTATGAACACTACTATTTAGAGTTACAAAACTGCTGAATATAGTGGGGTTATCCCTACGGTACCATTTATGAAGAGAATCTATCCAATAACAACCTTTACAATATACTGTGCTTGCAGTCGGACAAAAGCATGTAGAATGGTTGGAAGTCAGAACAGAATTTCAGAGAGTCAAAATTCTACTAGCTATTTGAAATACAATTGCATAAACCTACTTTAAGGAAGTATGCCTTGCCCTAACCCCACAGATTCCTCCCACTTTAGATTTTTAACCCCTTCTTTTTGGCAGACCATTACAGCATGTGGCACAGTGTCTATCCTTAAAAACGGTCATACTCTTTCCTTGCAATGGCGTTCAGATTGCCTTGTCCAGCACAGAAATCTGCCATCTTACTAGGCGCTGTGCAGCAAAAGCAGTACAAGCTCCGTTAGAAGGGCCCAAACTGGAATCTTTATGGCTAAACTATAATCAGCCTAGAAGTGGTTAAATGCCATGCTCCAAACGTCACTTGCATACAATACAGTTTTGCTGCAGTCTTCAAGCAGGATTTTATGTCCCAGAAGATCTAAAGAATTACTATCCCATGGTATTTGGGAAAGGTGAACAAGAGAAGCCATCTGAGATACGCATGCATTGCTCGTCCCTTGTCGACTGACTTTTCTTTTAATGGATAATGCAAAGTGCTTATCAAAGGAATTAGCCTGGGTATAATTGCTTAAAACCTATTATCTCCATCAGGCTGAAATAAAGCATATTGCATCTTAAGCAAAGCCTCAGAAATGTGATCAGATGCTAATAGTGCTAGATTCTGCTAATCCAAGTACAACTTCAATTAAGAAAAACAGATTCCCCACTCTACCCATCCCTAATCATGTTCCACCACCAGGATAAGTTTTGGTTATTCAAACATGTTCAAAGCCCTTGTGAAGAGTGTGCTTTTCTCAGCATCCATCCTTGCAATATGGAGATAATTACCAGGGGACTTTACTAGACTGTTGCATGGCTTGAATACATAATGGGTGATGTTTGATTGTGGCATCCCACTTGCACAAATGCGACTTTCCCCTCATATCCCCCTAGTAAAGGTAAAGGGAACCCTGACCATTAGGTCCAGTCACGGACGACTCTGGGGTTGCGGCACTCATCTCACTTTACTGGCCGAGGGAGCCGGTGTACAGCTTCCGGGTCATGTGGCCAGCATGACTAAGCCGCTTCTGGCGAACCAGAGCAGCACACGGAAACGCCGTTTACCTTCCTGCTGGAGTGGTATCTATTTATCTCCTTGCACTTTGATGTGCTTTCGAACTGCTAGGTTGGCAGGAGCAGGGACCGAGCAACGGGAGCTCATCCCGTCGTGGGGATTCGAACCGCCGACCTTCTGATCGGCAAGCCCTAGGCTCTGTGGTTTAGACCACAGCGCCACCCGCGTCCCCATGCCCCCCTACATACCCCTAAAATATACTATGGTGAGTTGATGGGACTGCAGATGCTATATCACTGGCTAATATGCATGAACATTTACCAGAATATCTAGAATTAGTGTGCTCTTCCAATAACTTGTAACTATGTTTAGCTCCTCCTTTGGTTTCCAAAACTGATCATGCAAAACTAGTAAGAGAAAGAAGAGCTCTTCTCTAATCATGTCACGTGTATGATTCTTCCTTGCCAAGGGTAACAAGCTTGCTCTCAACATCTAGAGATAAATGTGCTTTAAAAGTGCCACTTGGTGATGAAGGACCTGAAACAGACTCCCTGTGACCTAATAGCAAATTGGCTCATTGCAGGGCCAGCAAAAAGTTACTTGGGTGGGGGGGAATCCACTGTGTAGAATCAGTAGTAGTTTGCCTCCCTAGTTCCCTTCTAGAAAAGTGTGCTTTCCCAATAACTATTGTTAACTATGTTTAGCTCCTTCTTTGGTTTGCAAAACCGAACATGCAAAATAGTAAGAGACGAGCCCTTCTCTAATCATCCCACGTGTATGATTCTTTCTTGCCAAGGACAGCAAGCTTGCTCTCAACATCTAGAGATAAATGTGCTTTAAAAGTGCCACTTGGTGCTGAAGGACCTGAAACAGACTCCCTGAATTGGCTCATTGCAAGGCACTTCATAAAAAGCCAGCAAAAAGTTACTCTGGGGAAAACAATCCACTGAGTAGAAGAAGCAGCAGTTTGCCTCCCTAGTTTCCTTAGATGTCATGGAAAGAGAGTGTTCAATAAGAGCTGTCATAAAAGCAAAAGAAATACCATGAAGTCAGAATTCAGTGCTTCTTCCAACTACTGTGCCCAGGTGACCAGCACAAAATATACGCCTTATGAAGTTTGTGCCTTGTGTTCTTCAATCACATCTGTAAGCCAGCAACAGGTCTCTTCACCCAACCAATATGGCATCCTTATTGTTCCCTGTTCTTTACTGCCACATTAACAAGGAGAACCTTGCTTATGTTGGCACAGGTTCCTGCTCTAGCTGGAGGCAGAGAAATGAACTAGAACAACAGTAGCCAACGTGGTGCCCATCAGAGGTTGCTAGACTATAACTCCCATCATCTCTGACCATTAACCATGTTGGCAGAGGCTGAGCAACGTTGGAGCCCAAGAACCTCTGGAGGGCCACAGGTTCCTCATCTCTTCCATCTTTTTGCTTGCTGGATATTTGCTGCTAATTCTGCAAGCATTTATTCTGCATTTGATATATCTCCTTGTTAAAGGTAGCAATATTCTAGTTCAGGGGCAGTCATCACAGGACTCTCTTAACGTTACTGGATTCCAGCTCCCACCAGCCCCAGCCTGCATGGTCAATGGTCAGGGATGCTGTCAGTCAGAGCTCTCCCTGGGTTTTCTAATCTCCAAGGCTGATTTATGGCAAGAACCTTCCTTCATTCTCTTATGCAGAGTCTTGAACTTGTGCTTGCACAAATTTAAAGACCTTTTTTCAGGGTCTAAGGGTCTATATTTTAAGCTCTGAAGCTACATCTATTGATAGCATTATTCATTTTTAAAATTTATGTCCTATAAATTTTTCGTCAACGGGAACTCAAGGCAGATAACAAATAAACCTTAAAACATAGTCACATCAATGATAATTAACTCCAACTTGGGGGGGGGGGGGCAGAATCAGCACTCAATCAGGCCTGAATGCATTCCAGAACAAAAACTGCATAAATATGTTTAAGAAAGAATGCACATAAGCACTGAGTTCGGGTGGTAGTGATCTTCCCAGTAAGATACTGATCTTGTGGAACTTCCCAATATTACAAAACTAATCAGGTTTAGCTTTGCATTATGCTCAAGTTGTGAAAGCACCCAGAAAGGATTTTTAATTCTTATGAATAAAGAATTTAAAAGGTCATCCTTGCCACAAGACCTATCAAATATTTAAGCTAGAATTTATAAGCTACTCACAACAGGCTATAGTCAGAATTTCTGGGATAGTTATCTAGACATAATGTCACATGCAGACTACAAGAAATCTGTTTGCAGTGATGAGTGTGATGACATCGTCTGATGAGGATGACAAGGTACCAGCTTCCCTTCATCAGGACAAGCAATTATTAGTATCTCCTTTCTATCTCTTTCTCATTGCCCTAATCTTGCTGTCTCTGAAACCTCATGCCAGCCCAAACTGCAGTCATTTGTATTCAAGATTTTTCTTCCTGGCGCACTTAGGTATCTTCCGCTGCAATTTGCTTGGCTTTCTAGTGCTTACCTCATTTCATATAAGACAATATCCCCACCTCTCTCAGTCTCTGTGATAGAAACCATTCAAGCTTATGGGCAAGGCTAAATGGGTTTGGGTTGCCTGTGCAATTTGTAGAAATGGACCATCTTGCTATTCCCCCCGCCCCCCTGAACTGACACTTCAAGCCACAAAGCCATTTTATTAACCGTCCACCATTTTGGGTAAATATATATTCTATATATGTTTGTATTGGCATTTGTTGGCATTTGCTAATTCCCACCAAGCCAGCAAAACAATGTTAGTATTTTAAAAGTAATTGAGTCCTTTTCTATTACTGTATGCGGTACATAATCACCTCCAAGTAACATCCAGGCAGATGGTCCACTCTGTGGAACACCCTCCCATCAGATGTCAAGGAAATAAACAACTATCTGACTTTTAGAAGACATCTGAAGGCAACCCTGTATAGGGAAGTTTTTAATGTTTGATGTTTTATCGTGTTTTTAATATTCTCTTGGGAGATGCCCAGAGTGGCTGGGAAACCCAGCCAGATGGGCAGGGTATAAATACATTATTATCCCCCAAAGTAATACAGTGCTTCCGTGAACACGCACGTAAAAGATGGGTTCAGGCATACACGTGTAAACATGCAAGGAGATACATTCATTATATTCACCTGTGAATAAGCCCCATTCAACTCAGCGAGGCCTACCTCTGAGTAGACATTTGTAAGATTGTGTTACAATCCATTTAAATAAAGCAGTCTATTCAAATAAGTCTTCGACAAAATGGAACAGAGGGATGAGATCAAATTAAACTTCTTTTACTTAAGAGACTCTACTAAGCAAACTATAGTAACACATGCCAACCCTAAATTACAGTTCTCAGAAAATCGCTACTCTTCCATTTATGCTAATAAATGTCCCCAAAACTAATAAATAAGACCATTATCACAATACAAGCAAAGCAATATTTCAAACACTTTGTGAACAGGGACTACTTTCTTCTGACTCAGTCCTCAAGTGCCTGATCTCTGAAACTTTACGCAAGTTTTATTTCACAGAGAACAGATGGCCTGCACTTCTCAACAGCCGGGTCCATTTACAGCTCATCTCTCAAGTTGAGCCCACCATGCTACTTTCCACTAAGAAAATCTTAGTGCATTTACATGTCTAGGTGGAACAACAGAACTCAAATCAAGAGATTAGCACTAAACTGCAGGCTTAATTCATTTTCCCATCTCTTCCAGGAGGTGCTACAGTGCTCGTTAAACTGCATCAAAAGTGAACAAAATGAACAAAGAATAAAGCAGAAGAGCAAAACAAGAACATTAAAATGCTAATAGAAATCAGCAGATTTATTTACACAGGGGGTGCATAATTCCCCCCCCCTCCATTTGGCAGTTATACAGTGTGAACACACCTAGTCATCTTGAGCTAAACAGCAGTGCTTCTAAGCTAAGAGCAAGAAAGCAGCTATAGGCCTGACCCTGCAAACAAAAGCCTCTGTACTACACCCCATATAGCCTGTGCTTCCATATAGAGTTGCCAGGTGTGTATCATTCTCATTATGCAGCTGCAGGGAGATCTGCTGTGCTGTCGTAAGGAAGGGCCATCCTTTGTTGGAAGAAGCTGCAACATTTTGAATGCAAACTTCATCCGTGTGAGAAATAAAGGCACTGAATTTATACAGGACCATGCCAACAGAAGCTACCTTAGTACCAATGATTAATTGCCAACCCCCACTCCAACAGTAACACAATTTCCAATCAAAAATGCAAAATCACTGTTTTCCAAATGATTTGGGGAAACATGTTATGAGCAAATATGCACAGCAAAGCCCTGGTACTTGCTTTTCTTTCTGTGCTTTTCTTAAAGAAAAGCAAATTGGGGAAGGGGTGAATTGAGCATCCTGTTTTCTCTGACCAATGGGCTAAAGTAAACATTAAGGGCAAACGTTATAAAAAAGAAAGGCAACCTTGAAGATTGGGATTTTGAGTGGCAATGGAGATCCTTAACCGTTTCCCTTTATCTGCTCCAAGTCCACCCCCATAATGCCACACATAGTTTTAACCCCACGTTTCAAAGGTGATTTTGAATTCCATGGAGTTAAAGCTGTATGGAAGAGATCGATTTGGAGCAGACCAACAATGGAGAGGGTGTTCACCTCCTCTGCCCCACCTCTTCTCTACTCAAGATCCCCACACTCAACACTGCTTACACTTCAACTGAAGGAAGAAAATATGACACAGACCAGGAGTCATCTAAGTGTTCCTAATCACTCGAACCCAACTGCATTAGAAAATGTGTGTTATGGGAAGCCAGCACACAATTTAAAATTAGCATCACACCTTTGCTGCTTCTGTCAGTTGCGATTCCCTGGAACCCACTCCCCCTTTTAAAACTCAGAACGAACTGATAAAAGCCACTTGTTTCACAGTTCTGCCAAGACCATCTAGGGAAGCGCTCCAGTTAATAATGGCAGACAGAGTTCAAACTGCAAGTCAAATCATAGTCAGGAAATGCAATTGTTTATCATGAGCTCCCACTGAAAGCCATGACAGACTTCTTTCTTTCTGAAGCTTAAAAAACGAGAGTCCTTTCTAAGAGTACTATATATAGACACAGAGGAGCTGTATGCCTACAGTAAGCCACCCTTTATTTACTCAACCATATATTTAATTCACATAACCGTTTTCTGAAGCAAAACTGCACCATCAGCCAAATGAAACAAAAGATCCCATATAACGCAACACCAGAGTTAGCATTCTGTAATTCCCTCCGATCACCCGCATGGTTCTTTGGAGTCGTGGCCTAACCACAACCTCTGCAACCACCTGATGATGCATGGCAAATTGCTTTCAAAACTGAGAGGGGGTTCAAAAGCAGCTTGCAGTTAGAATTGAGGTCAGCTGTTTCAAGCCAAAAATCCCATTAAACTAGCCCAAACTCCTTGCCAGAGCTGAAGTAGCTGTTTTGACTCCAGCCATAGTTGTTACTGCTGGTATGCCAAGCAAAGTTAACCATCGCAATGCAGGATTTAGAGATGGGGAATCTGCCATTATGTGTCCTTCCCAGAAGCCCTTGGTGAAACCCGCACAGCACCTAAAGAGCCTCATTTGAATGTCTGCTACCTCCTCCCACACTCCGCTTTAAGACGTTTACAAGCCTCAGATAACTTGGACACCAGCCAATTTTTCTCTTCCCCTTGGACCATTAACCATCTGGCCTTATGCAGAGTTCTGGAGAACGCAAAAGCTTGTACCCCATTTTGTGATGTTGGTTAGCTGAATAAATGTATTGGCAAAATACAGAGAGAGAGGAAGGTTGCCTTTCCAGGACCTGGGGTAGCAAGAAGTTACATATACCCATCTGTGCATTTGGTTATTACCAAGAAGCAGAATTTCCTGCCTTTCCTGATATATTCCACTTCCTAAAAAGGAAAAAAAAATTAGCTGAGAGCTACCCATTTTCTTCCTTTCCCCTTCCTATTCCCTCCCACTCAAATAGTGTTATTTACTTAGTAAGCAACTGACGTTATCTGGGAAATAGTACTACATCTGCCACCTGGGCCTGGCTTGAGATAAAAAGGTGTGTAGTAATCCTGCCCCTCTTAGCTCTTTGAATATTCTAATGGTGTTGGAGGAAATATGGGGGAGACAATGGATCTTTGTAAACACCCCTTCTTCCATAATACAGTGGTACCTTGGTTCTTGAGCTTAATCCCTTCCGGGAGTCCGTTCAACTCCTAAAACCGTTCGAGAACCAAGGCACAGCTTCCGATTGGCTGCAAGAACTTCCTGCACTTAAGTGGAAGCCGTGTCGGAAGTTCAGCTTCTGAAAAACGTTCACAAACCGGAACACTTACTTCCAGGTTTGCGACGTCCGGAAGCCGATTTGTTCGGCAACTAAGCCGTTCGATAACCAAGGTACGACTGTACAAGGGGAGAAAAACACATCAATTTTGTTTCTTGGCTGAACTGCTTTAGAACCATGTACCAAAAGTGCAATGTCCTTGACACACGCACAACAGCAGTATCCCTCTGATGCTCTCTCCCCATTTTGCCCTTAGAGTGCTATCTGAAGCAGCTCTGCCAGCTCACACCTCACTGAGCTTAATGGGCCTTATGCCAGCCAAATGCTTAAGCATCCACTGTGCATAATACTTTGCTGTATCCAAGTGAGATATGCCTGCACTTGCCCCATCCCGTCCCTGCCATTACAGAAGTTTACAAAGCAAGCTATCATGAGCAAAACTGAAGTGAGAGCACACAACATTTGTCAACACTTGCTGCAATCTACCATTAAGTCAGATTACTGGAATACCAGCTTTCCTCTAACTGTTACATGGATACAAACTGTAATATCGCCTTTCAAGTTGCATTTGAGGAAAAAATGGTTTTAGGCACTCTAGACAGACTCAAGACTTGAAATTTGAATGCAATTCAGATTTTGAAACAGAGGTTGTAAATTCAAAATAAGACTCCAGAAACTCAGCACTATCTACTTGTTGACACTCTTAATAGTTTAAATGTTTAAAAAAATAGTTCTTTTCTTCCTCCATTAGCTTTCCCTACCCCCTTCTTCCTGTTTCCATTTAGACTGTAAGCTTGCAGGTATAGTTTTGTGGTTAATTCTGTGTTTTGCACCATTTTGGGGTTCTTGTCTTCCCCTTCACCACATAGACCCCCTTCTGCTTTGCATTCCCAACCCAGAACATTAGTTACAGCAAGCAGGGCCACCTCTCTCATTCTCCCAGGACTCTAGCAAGAGCAGATATAAGAGTAAGGTAAAGGTAAAGGGACCCCTGACCATTAGGTCCAGTCGTGACTGACTCTGGGGTTGAGGCGCTCATCTCACTCTATAGGCTAAGGGAGCCAGCGTTTCTCTGCAGACAGCTTCCAGGTCATGTGGCCAGCATGACTAAGCCTCTTCTGGTGAACCAGAGCAGCACACGGAAATGCGGTTTACCTTCCCGCCGGAGCGGTACCTATTTATCTACTTGCACTTTTTGGCATGCTTTCGAACTGCTGGGTTGGCAGGAGCAGGGACCAAGCAACGGGAGTTCACCCCGTCGCGGGGATTCGAACCGCCAACCTTCTGATCAGCAAGTGGTTTAACCCACAGTGCCACCCGTGTCCCAAGATATAAGAGTAGGAAGCATCAATAAGTTTTGCTTTGCTGCAGACAGGTTACTTCTCCCTCTTGGCGCCCCTCCCTGATCTCCAACTCAACCTCCAGAGACAGAAGCTGCTTGATAGATGTTTCAAGCAGAGACATAAAGTTTCTGGAAATTTTTAAGGACATGGAAAACTCATTTTCCCCTTCATTTGGTGGGAAACGGAAATTTCAGGAATTTTTTTTTCCCATCTATGCAATACTTTCTTATCAAAGTCAAACCCATTTACTGCCTTAACAAATAATGCTCTACTTCTAATACAATTAGCACATAAAATTGTACATTTGGGCATATTTATTAAATGCACAGCATAAGCCTATACACATTTACTCAGGAATAACAACCTTTGTTTAGATGAACTATAGGATTACAGCCTCAAAAGCATACCTGCCTTAAGAGGCAATGCCACATGCATTCACTGAACCAGGTGGGACTTACTTCTGAGGAAAGTATTGTACTGTTAGTTTTGAGGGTATCTAGGAAGGGAGAGATGAAACAGACTGCTACAAGAGAGGAGTCAGATCAAAACGACAGCAGATACAGGATACTGCTCCTAGTACCCCCAAACTAGATTGAAGGTCAGAAGAAGGCAGCAAGCAACAACTGACAAGCAATGAAGGCCCTGTATGTTCCTCTCACTAAGACGGTAGCACAGAAATGCATATTGTATTTGAGTGTTGTATATGTCTACAGTATATACAGGAATTATTCTCTAAAACTGTAGATTGTCTAACATTGTAGATGGTCTAACATATCTTCATACTGCATATTAAGTGCAAGTAAAACCTGGAATATATTTTTTGGGGGGGGGGGGGAACTTTCATCTCTCTGATTTTAGGAATGATACAGTCCAGAAAGGGGGCAGATAAAAAAGAGAAGAGAAGAGATTGGCTTGACCACTACTGGCTTTTGCCACACCCATGTCTGGCTGGTATGCACACCCTGACATATTGCAGCCCTTGACAGTGACAACAAAAGGTTTTGCACTTCTGTTATAAATAGAGTACCAAGACCAATTTTAAATATGCAAGTTAGTGCCTCATATGATGGCAATTCAGACAGAATGGTCGCTCCTTTGGGACCAGTTCATATGACAGTTTTGTTCTACGCAAGCAGTCTCAACCATCCGCAGCAAGTATTCATGTGAAGAGTGTTCATCTGGGTCCTTATGGATACGCAGTTAACAGTAATTCCAACTACTGAGATAACAGGAATTGTTCCACCTGGATCTGTCAACTCTCACGCTACGTTTATGCTTACATAGAGGGTCAGAAGTTGGGACTGCTGACATATATAAAAAGGGTGTTTAATTGAGATGGTCCTTTGAAGCACGGCTCTCAAAGAACATACACTACTGGACTTCACTGCAGCAGCCAAAGTTTCTAAAGGTGGCCTAAGCAGAGAATAACAGAAGAGGGTGAAAGAGGGTGGAAAGAATGTCACATAGCAATAAATCTTTGCGTGGCACAGAATTGTCATTCCCAGTTATGAGCATACTTCAGTATTAAGATCTAGTCAAAAACTCAAGTTTGACAGGCAGGCAAATAATACTTCTCTACCATTTCTCTGCTTCTTCCTCACACTGTTCACCTCCCATTGTCTCAAAGAGAAAAGAAGTGAGGAGGCTAGCCTATTTTCCCAAACCTGACCATGCTACTTGCTCCCCCCAAATCCTTCAGGAAGTAAAAGGGGTTAAGTGGCATTTTAGACATTTGTATATCCATCAGTTACTCCTCCTCTTGAACCTGTTTCCTAAAGGAGGCTTAGAAGACAGAGGAAGCAGCAGAATCCTATTGCACACACACATATTACCCTAGAACTGCTTCAGGAAAGATAGCAGAGGCATTGTTCCTCCTGTTCATGAAGGCTAAGTCACTAATGCCAAAGACTCTGGTGGCATCTTCCCCCCACCTCCCATGTAAAGCTGACTTGCATCCATTGCGCCCCAAGCACCTTGCAAGGGCACTCCTCTACCCAGTAATAACAATCCAAGTTTAACTCCTTTGTTCTGGTTAGTGTGCTATCATAACCAGTATCTGGCAAATTGCCATCTAGTAGAGCAGGATCAAGATTGCAATAGGATGAGTTTCTCCTACCACACCATTTGAGCATCCCCACAAATACTCAGCTTCAACAAGAGCTTATTCCTTGAACACCAACTAAGTAGTAGTCAGACATGTTTAGAGTCACATGCCTGTCAAGTGTGTCAATAGTGGCTGAATAACATGGCTTGTCATCTTTCAAACTCCATTGCAGCCCATTTACTTTGCCTCGGATAAGTCTACCTTTACAGTACGTTTATTCTTAAAATATGATAAACCATCAAAAAATATTAATTTTCTGTTCGTGGAAACTCAGCACTGTGCTGTGATCACAGAGTCCTACTAGAAAGCTGACTGTGCAAACCCCAAAATTAGAACCATCAGCCCATCCTGGCCATTTACTGCGTTTCAGCGCAGATTCACACCTCCAAGATAGCATTCCCTGTTCAAACAAGCAGCTCTCAATTATTTCCTCATTCTCAGCTCTAAAGAACGATACAATCTCTTTAGACTCACTCACAATACCATTTTCATTTTATAAAAGTGTCTAACAGTGCAGTAAACTGTAAATCAAACCTGAGCTTCAAGATTCACAGAACCTGAAGTTCATTTGTATTGGGAAATCTACCCTTTATCTGCTGCCAAAACATAAGAACAGCTATATTCATGCAATAACTTGTGCCAAAAAGCCCACCCAAGATTTGGTGGCCTCCATCTTACGCCATCCCAGAAACCTGAGCAGTTTTACTCTTGCCTTCCTATATTGTATTCCTCATTTTTTCTCCAAATTATGAAAATTCTTCCATGGAGAAACACATTATTAAAACATCCCACTTTACTGAAACAGTACAGGGCCAGTTAATGTTGCAGATTGTGCAAATGAACAAGCACAAGAAAAGAAACCCGATACACAGATCAGGTGGACAACGCACAGGTTAATTTCCTTTTGCACCACAAGTCCACAATGAATATTAAAACATGCATCAAGAAGAGTAAAACTGAGAGTACATGGTCAGACTAGTTCAAGTCCCAGATCACAACAATGATGGCAATGCACAGAGTGGCATTTCTCCCCCCAGACACAAGGGTGCTAAATTTCATGCAGCAAGCCAAGTATTATCAGAGAAATGTGATCCTCTTTAGATTTTCAGATGTTTTCAGCATAGGCACTGTGAGAAGGTCGAAGACAAAATTCAGTTTCAATTTAGTATTGGGTGAACCAATAGTGTAAGTAAATCCATTGATTATAATTAAACCTAGTACATTCTCCATCAAATATCTCCCCCCCACACACACATACCCTGTATCTGCTTTCCTTGATTATTAGCACTTTGCATCCTATATCCGCAACACATTCTTGAACAGTTCTTCACTTGCCAGATGTACATAAAAGTTGTTTAATATCTTTGGATTTCATATTTCATGAATTTTGGGAAACTAAATAATATTGTATTAGCTTTAGACTTGTCTATGTTTTGCATTAGTCTTTATTCCAATACATAGTTTTAGAAGAGATATGCTCTCCACATCCATATCCATCATTTCTCATTCATTAGCATTTTCCCAACTTCTTATTTAACAAACTGCCTCAGCTGCTTTCGCTATAGCAATATGAAACTATTAAGGGCACTGTGTCCTTGGAGATATTAGCATGGAGTCACACTGGCATTTTATTTAATTTAAATCAATAATCAACTGAACCCACAAGGGCTCAGCAAAGATAGTGTTTAAGACAAACGATGATATCAACAAGGATACAGAAAATACAGAAAATTATATACTGCTAAATTAAGAATTTTTTCCCCTCTGTGGGAGTTCCAAGTACTTTTTGCAAACCACTTTGATGTGGTGGTGGTTGATTTTTACAATCAATCAGTGTGTACATTTTATGAATGAATGAATGAATGAATAAATAAATAAATAAATACTTTTCCATGAGAAGCTGTCTTACTAGATGAGACCAAAATTCCTTTGAGACCAAAATTCCACTACCTCCAATACTGGAGAGCTATATATCTCCAGAAACTCACAGACAGGGAATGGAGATAATTGTCTTCTCTTGCTTGCACCAGCATCTAATACTCAAAGAAGCACACACCCTCTCAGAGTAATGGCTCTCTCAAGGCTAACAGCCATTAAGAGGCCAATCCTTCATAAATGTGTTTAATTTTCTAAAGCCACGTAAGCTAGTAGCCATTGCTGCATCTCATGGGAGAAAACGTATTTTGTTAAATACTCATGGAAGTACTTTTGGTAAGTGTTTCAATTCAACTTCAACTGGCAACCCCAAGATTACAGAACAGACAAAGAACACTATCCATCATCTTGCCAACACAATTTTGTAAACCTCCATCATGTCCAACCATCTACAACACAGTCCAGAAAAAGGAGTCTAAAACACTTTAATCACTCTACAAATTTGTAGGCATTTTTTTCTTGAATGCTTCAGAATAATAAACAGTATCCAAAAGTGGCACCATAGACAGCAGTCAGCCGCCAACAATTCTCTCTACACTCTTAGTATTCAAGCTCATCTTGTGAACTGTATATTCAAAAGTGTATTTGTTGCTCAAATGAGATAGTACTATTTTATCTGCTTCATGTGCATAAATAAATTCTATAATTTGCAGCCTCAATATATATATTTTAAATATCAAAACAGAAATCCCATGTGTATTCTGCTCAGACAGTTGTTACAAGCAGCAAGAAGGGACTACATCAATTTATCTGAAGTATGGCTTTCACCTGCGTATGGGAGGTTAGGGGAGGGGTAGTACTTCTGGTGGGGGATATGTCATGCTCCTTCTGAAGTAATTTGTTCACCTTGGGTCCCCACGCTGCGCACAGCTTTCAGCTGGGGCTCCTAGAAGCTGTCAGCATGCAACAGTGGCCACACCCCAGGAAATGGTTTCAGCTGGCTAACTGATGGGCAGCTGATAGGTTTCAAACCCTCTGCGAGTTAGAAACTTCCCCTGCATGTGAAGACAAGCTCCGGCAGACTGAGCAGACAAGAGCAATAATGGGTGCAATGGCCAAGAGGGCGGTTTCTGCATGTGCTATAGAGGGAAGTGAGGGGCTGATGGGGTTCATCAACCTGGGAAGACAGCCTATCTAGGAGAAGGAAAACTCTTATCCTAAACCTCTGCTGGTTTGTGAGATATTTCAGGAGAAGAAAAGGCTACACAAATCCCGAGCTGAGTCCCTAAGGTGATTGGACAGCACCTTGTACATCTCCTTCTGGCAATCCCTGAAGCCAAGCTGGTGCCAAACATGTTGCTCTGCTCTCCACACATCAGAGTGGCCAAGAAAGGGGGTATTGTTGTCTGGGTAGCCCAGGACCTCCATACACCCTGCCTAAGCTTGCACCCCAGGGAGATCACATCGGTGTGCTAACCCAGTGGTTTGACTCTACCCCTGGAGGCATACTCCATTCCCTCTTGAGACAGATGGATGCCAACAACAGCAATGGTCAATAATGGGAGATAATTAGTGTGAAAAATATCTGCACCATCCACCTGGATGCAATCATTTTGCTGAGCCTTAAATTCTTCTGAAATTTAGGAACAGAGGAGAAGAGCAAGAGCATGTAAAAAGTGGTTGATCTCAGTGAAGCAAGGCCACACTGATCTCTCTTTTCATACCAAGTTGGGCAAACCCTACTCTTAAAAGTGCTGGATGACAGAGCACAATTGTTATTATTCTTTACCACAGAGGAATGAGGAAAATGTAATATCAGGTTGCTGGCAGTTGGAAAAGAACAGGTAACTCAGCACATATTAATTTCACCCTCTAATCCTTTCAAGCATCAGGACTTTCCCATATCTTTCCTCTGCATACTCATTTCTAGTATTGATCAGTGAAATAGCATATCTAATGGGCAAAGCCCTTTACACTCTCTCTCTTGCTTTGACTTTTTACCATAATTGCATTGCAAAGAACACTGTTTCATGAGGTTCATGATTACAAGCAGACAAGCAACTAATTACTGGAAGCCTTTAACTGCAGGGTTTTGAATTAAACCTTGATTCAAATTACTAACTGTTGTAGCATCAAAGAAATCAAACAGCTGGAAATGCAAGCCATTGCAAACAATGGACATGAAATGAAGCTCTCTGAAAGATCCCTAATGCTAGCCAGGAACTGGAGATTAGACAGAAAAAGCAATGCAAGAACTTCTGAGGCATGGAAGACAAATATTGATTACCTGGGGATTTTGAATGTTGATTGGGAATGTTCTTGCTGTGGTACAACATGAGTCACCTGCTTTCCCTCAAGCCCTTTCCCACCAAAAGAAAGAAGCAGTTTTTTAATTAAATGGAACAGTTATCTTAATTAGGACTGGAAAGGCTGACATTTGCTCAGGTTACAGATCAAATACACATAACTTGCATAAGAACTTGCAAGGTGGCTTTCCACGTGGTTTGGCAAAAAACAGACCTACTTGTGGGTATTTAATTTTTTTCCTGAGTTCTCATGCTGTTAAAAGGTAAACTAAAGACTGAAGCACTCATGCTCAGAATGCAATGCCACATGCCATCAGCAGGTTCAGCCACCTTCCCAAAACATGTACCTCAACTGTTTCCCTATGAAACCATAGTTAGAAGGCACGCTCTGTTGAAGGCAGAAATAGCGACGCATTTCCTTGTACACTTACTTGGTTTGGTAAATATATAACTACGGTAGGTAATTAGCCCGATAGCAGGAAAGACCTTTGGTCATGTCCCCTATACATGCCACACCAAACCTCTGCAAATATATGTATCAGCAAATTATTTCCCTAAATTTCAACATTCATAGACACAAGGCCTAACTAAATATGCTTGACATTTTCTGATACAGGCAACCTCCCATTTACACGTGTTCCAAGGCACTGCACGCATCAGTGAAATTGTGTATTTTTGAAACACCACAAGAAAAACCTACAAACACCCTGTTCCACCCCTGCCCTGCCCCTTTTTGTGACATTTTGGTGACTTTTTGCATCACTTTCAGGTTCGGTGCAATGCATGCATGCACGGTCGTGCACATAATTGAACGCGCATAAATGGCAGGTTGCCTGTACCCTATTCACTCATATGAAGGAGACAGCATCAAACTCCCAACAAACCTGCCTCTCATTACCACTGTACAATCATGCAAAAATGAGAGAAAGAATTTTTAAAATATTTGTCTACAGCCTTCTCTCTGTAGCCAACGTTAACACAAGGGCACTTTAAAACAAGTGATCTTCCATCAGCATTGTGGGCAGTGAAAAGGTTAAAAAAAAAAAAAGAGCAAAGGACCCCTGGACATTTAAGTCCAGTCAAAGGTGACCGTGGGGTTGTGGCGCTCATCTCACTTTCAGGCCGAGGGAGTAGGCGTTTGTCCACAGACAGCTTTCCAGGTCATATGGCCAGCATGACTAAACCGCTTCTGGTGCAAAGGAACACTGTGATGGAAACCAGAGCGCACGGAAATGCTGTTTACCTTCCTGCCACAGTGATACCTATTTATCTACTTGCACTGGTGTGCTTTCAAACTGCTAGGTTGGCAGAAGCTGGGAGCTCACCCCGTCGTGTGGATTTGAACCGCTGACCTTCTGATCAGCAAGCCCAAGAGGCTCAGTGGTTTAGACCACAGCGCCACCTACGTCTCTACTGGGCAGTACCACATGCACAACTGAATGTTGGAACTAGCATTTTTATTATCACACTATATGTGATGACACCCAGATCTGTTCACATCAGTTCTAGTCTTATCTTTAGATCAAGAGGGACACACAGATTAAGGAAGAATGAACCTTCCTATACCTGCAATTTACCTGCCTGTAGTCTCTTCCCTCTACCACCTCCGCCTTGTGATTCTCACATAGCCCCTCTCACTTCCACTATTGGAGGCCAGCTGGGGGAATGAAATGGGGAGGGGGAAATAAACTGCAAGGAACTAAGTTTAGCACTCAGATATGCATCCACGTGGCCCCTTTTCTCTAAAAAGGCAACAAACCATTGGGTCCAACACCATTACTTTTTATTTTATTTGGACAAACTTGGGTCAACAAGCAGGTCTGCCACAAAACTAGTACATGTACACAGCCCTAGGCCATGAAGGGCAGATCTGTCTTCTTTGAACAAAACGGACAGGAACACCAGGTCCACTAAATATTTTAAGTTAAGGAATTATTTAAACCATTCATTTCATCTCAGAGGAGGGGGCTGGAGACATGAAAAATGGTGTGTCCAAATTATAATAAATCCAATATTTTGCATATGAAAATACCAAGAACTTCTGATTTGATGAAGATCTAAGTACTGAAGAAATGATTTTAGATAACAAATAATCCTTAAGAGAAATGGTTCTTCGATTATGCACCCCAAGGCCTGCATTCCCATTACCCTCTGCTTAAGCCAATAAAATTATTGTAAACCTTGACATGTTAAACACTGAAGCTTTTCTATAAAACTTTACTGCGTTGTATAACCGGTATCTTATAGGTTAATTACAGAAGCTCTGAAATATCTTTTCTTTAAGCTGTGATGCACTAGCAGTCTCATTTAAAAATCCCTCTACATTCTATATTTTCTAGGTTTTTTCACTCTCTCACACATGGTTCTTATTTTAAAATGTGTTGTTCTGAAGTGCTCCAAACACTAGAGCCCAAAAGCCAAGTATGGAACACTCCTAGTCTAGCACCGGAAAACACACCAGGGCAGCTGTTCCAGAGAGTCTACAAACTTTTAGCAATTATAGATGTGCCATGCATTAATTAGTATGGTATATTCAGAATTCAAATTAACAACACTAAAATTAGCACCAGAGCACTTCTGAACACCAGAACACCTCTGAATACCAGAACACACACACACACACACACACACACTCTCACACACACACCCAATGCATGCAAAACTCTTTAATGCTAGTTCTTTAATGCTGCAAAGCTATGTGGGCAAATTTCAGCAGAAGCATGTTTCCATTAAACTAGGTGTCCTAGCAAGAACTAGGAAGTGAAATCAACTGCTGGACGCACTGGCATGGCAGCTTCCAAAATCAATGAAGTGAATAAAATATACTGACGGAAACTGCGAAAGGTATAATCTAAGCACCGTATATGAACAATGTAAGAAGACGCCTTTCCCCCAAATCATTAAAAGTACCAAAGCTTTAGACAGAGAAGTTCACAATGATTTAATGAACTCCTACCTTAAAGGGCAGCCGCTAAAGCCAGCCATCCTATCCCCCCAAAGGTGACCATTCCCTATTCATGAGAAGACTAGACAGAAAGCTAGACCTCCCGCTACATTAAGGAAGGAATTAGACACAGAGTTTAGTTACCTCTGCTATGACAGAGAGATGAAGAATACAAGAGTGGATCTGTTTCCAGTCTTTCAACACCCGCTTATAAAGTGGAGATTAAAGCTGCATTAATGTTTTCTGAGGACATAAGAGGAATATGGCACTGGGGCGGCGGTGTCTCATTTTCGGTCACGGAGTAGGGCTGCCTCCGCCAATCAGAGAAATCACTTGGGACTCCAAAAGTGTGCCGGGTCTATTCACTGGAGAGCTGGGTCCTGCACAGTCGGGGTGGGGGTGGGGAGAGACCTCCAAGCATGGGCAGAGTGCCTTCCTCCACTAACAACTTGCGCGGGTATATTTTTCAGGCTTCAAAGGGTCACAACATGGCTCTCGAGCAAACAGCCCTACAGTTCAACCCTTGATGATTTGATTTTTAAAAAGACAAAGACCAAAACAAAAAACCCCAGGCACTGCTCATATCCCGCAACACAGCTACATGCCAATAAGGAACGCCGCGTATCCAAAAGCCAGGTCAGGTCAGGATCCCCACCACCCGAGTCGCGCTAAGATCGCCCTCACATCGTCTAGTATCTCCCTCTCTTGCTCTCGCCCCCCACCCCCACTCGCACATCCCACCCCTCTTTTTCCCACCCACCCCTCTCTCTCCCCAGGTTCCAAGGACTCACCAAATAGCGACAGGAGCAGCAGCAGAAGGGGCGCGTCCTCCCCTCGGTGCCCCATGCCTCTGCGTCCAGAATTGGGGGCGGGCAAGAAGCGCGCCGAAAGCTAGCCAGCCGGAGCCCCCCAAGTCGGTCAGCGAGCCAGCAGCCCCTCAGCTAAAGTGGAGCCTCCAACAGGGGGTGGGGCCACAAAGCAATAACCCGAGCGCGAGGCAGAGCAGCGAGCAGCCCTCGCCCGCCTGTTCCCCGCTGGCTGGCTGGCTGGCTTGCCCTGGGAGCCGGCAGGAGCGAGGGAGCCGCCCGCCTCAGTCTCCGCCGTCGCCGCCGTCCCCCTCCTCAGCCCGGCCGCGCAGCCAACCACAGGGACAAACTTTCCCTGCCCCCGCCCCGCTCCCCCTCCCACAGGTGCCGAGGGAAGGCCGGCCCGGCCCCCACCCCCTTAAAGGGGAGGAGGAGGAGGAGGCGAAGCGGCTGCGCTCCCCGCCCGCCGGCAGCGGCTGCTTGTCCTCCGACGGCGCTGCCGAGGGATTCCCCGCGCCGCCTCAGCCCGGCCGAGGGAAGCCATCCACTAGTTCCATTGCATTGAACAACCAAGCAACCTCCGCACCTCGCTCGGCACGCCCCGCACCCGGCGCGCGCTCTCCGTCGGTGCGCGGCGCTCGCCGCCAAATCCCGCCCCTTCCACTCTCCGTCTCGGCGCTGGGATCCCGAAAGGGGGAACAAAGTGCCGGCAACTAGAAAGCGAAGCCCTTCAAACCAGGCGGGAAGAAGAAAGAAGGCGGGGAGGGAGGGAGGAAGTTGGCCGCTCAGGCGGATAAAGCGCGCAAAGAGGCTCAAAGGGGAAAATCGAGTAGCCCGAAATAGTCCCACACGTTGGAAGTGAGAAAGGCGAAGGGGCCTGTCAGCGTCGTGCGGAGGGTTTTATGGCTCGCAGCGCAATCCTAAAGTATATTTACTCCGGATTCAGACTGGCCGGGTTTTGCTCCCAAGGAAACGTGGGTTAGGTTTGCATCATTTGGCTTCGTACGCACGCTCGTTTGCAAAGTAAATTCAGTTGAAATGTAGGGGGAAAGGAAGTCCGATGGGAGATCGGGGACGTCTTTGGGCACACGAGTCCCGTCCCCCGCTTCTCCGCTTCAGGGGCCGTGTTTGGGCAATATGGGATTATGGGACACGCTGGGGATTACTGGTCAGAAAGGCAGACTCCACGGGAAGCACATCCCACTTGAGAAAGGGAGGTTTCTCGGCGCCACCTGCTTCCCAGTCGCAGCAAGAACGGCGAAAGGCCCTCCGCACCTTTTGCTCTAACGGCTTTAAATCCCTTCCCCTGGCGATGGGAGACGGAAAACAATAAAACTGATTTCTTCACAGCAAGACACACACCTATCAGGGAAAGGGGGGGGGCCTTGATCACATAGGTGTTGGCATCCGACAGTCTCGAGAGACAATGGAGTGCGCCTCCCGGGGTGAAGTCAAACCGCTGCGTTAGTAGCACCAAAGTGGCCTCCCGGGATGCAAAAAACCTCTTCGATTTTTAAAGGCAATCCTTTCCTCAAATCACAAACATGCCTCGCAATATTTCAGTGGTGCTTTATGTTATCTCTTATAGTATCCTTCTGGGCTGGCTTCCTGGGTTATGATCTGGAAAGATGGGACTGGTCGTCTTATTAGGTGGTGCTGGGTTACTGCTATTCTGTCCCATGGTCACCAGCCACCAGGAATGCTGAGAAGTTCTGTCTTGTCCCCATTTCTGTTTAATTCCTACATTGGAATTCAATGTCAACCATTAGTTGCTGGTTAAGTGTGGATAGTGTAATTATACAATGAAGTCAGTAGGTGGCACTAGACTTTGATACAGTGGTACCTCGGGTTACATACGCTTCAGGTTACAGACTCCGCTAACTCAGAAATATTACCTCAGGTTAAGAACTTTGCTTCAGGATGAGAACAGCAGCAGGCGTGGCAGCAGCAGGAGGCCCCATTAGCTAAAGTGGTGCTTCAGGTTAAAAACAGTTTCAGGTTAAGAACGGACCTCCAGAACGAATTAAGTACTTAACCCAAGGTACCACTGTACAGCGTATGGGTGGAATCAGGAGGATCCCAATGCTGTTCTTTGTTTGGACAGAGACAATAAAGTTATTGTCTAGTTTCTTTACTAGTGTGGCCTCTAAGCCTTCCATGACATTCTCTATGTCTTTTTAAAAAATGAAACCAAGTGTTAATCTACAAGTGTTATCAATGTAATGGACAAAATGTCACTCCATTTAAGGAAAGTCAATTCTATTACCACCACATTTTCACAGGCCTTCCAAAACACCTCCAGTATCATAAACATTAACAACCACTGGGAATGATAATCCACAATAAGGTACTTTTTACATCTAAAAGCTAGAGTCATTTCTCGTTCTATTTGAATGAGAAGGTGGGCTATGAACCCTCAAGAGGAATTTATGAAAACAGACGCAGAGCCAATATATGTTAAGAGTATGTCTTCTATTGTGTGATACTGTGCTTTCCTTTGTTATAAAATATATTGGTATAATAACTGCCTTATGCAATGCTCTTCGGCTGTTTAGATATTGATCTCCTCTTACCACACAATAAATGAGAGTTGTAGGTTTTGGCCTACAGCCTCAAACATTCTTGAATTCTAGGCGAGGCTATTTGCTTTTCAGATCAGGCAACTGATGCTGTTGATTTAATTACTGTGGGTGGTTGTTTGCTGTTTGAGTTTCATTTTTAATCCACAGGTTTGATGAAGGAAAGGTATGCTGGTTTAACACCACCTGGGGTCATCTGGAAAATAATTGTTACTGCTTCCTTGTTTTCCTGAACTGCTGTAAAAATACAAACCACAGCCCAAAAAAAGAATTCAATTTCAATATATTTCTGTTTCCCAGGGCATTTATATGGCAAAACCTGCATGCTACTGCTTACATGTGAGCTGAGCTAGCCTTTGGAGGATAAAAATGGAGGCACATACATTCAGAAGATGGATCTCAATGCATATAATTAAGGAGGTGAGATCTCTCTGTGTGTAACAAGTATTGGTGGGCCATTTCTAACTTAATTTCATTTTTGCCATCCTGGTGCCCTCCAGATGTTTTGAACTACAGCTCCAGCCAGCATGGCCATTGAAGGCTTCTCTACCTGGTTATTTTGAGGGTAAGAATTTACTGTGGGGGCAGGATGTTCTAAAACTTTTAAAATTACAGTTCCCTGAACCTGACACAACTATCACAGGAAGGGAGTCTGAGGAACTGAGACAAACAGTGGTGAAAAGAAGTGCAGTTCTAGACCACAATGATAAAACAGAAACAGACAAATCACCAGATCCAGATAGCATCCACCTGAGAGTTCTTAAAGAATTCAAATGTAAAACTGCTGGTTTTCTAACAAAACAAAAAAAACCTTGTCCCTAAGACTAGCCTCCATACCTGAGGATAGAAAAGTGGCCAATGTAAGTCCAATTTTTAAAAAGGTATCCAGGGATGGGATCCTGAAAATTACAGGCAGCTTAGGAAAATAAATGGGCTGGCTGAGACTGATGGGAGCTATTTCCCAAAACTTATGGACAATACCAGGTTGCTGAGGACTGCTGCTTTATGTGGTTACTTCATGGGTGAGAGTTTGGGTGTGTAATTCTAATACAGTGAAACCTTGGTTCTCGAACACCTTGGTACTCAAACATTTCAGCTCCCGAATGCCGAAAACCCAGAAGTAACTGTTCCGGTTTTTTAAACCTTTTCAGAAGCCGAACGTCCAATGCGGCTGCCGGCTATTGTTTCCAGGGTGCCTGCACCAAATGGAAGCCGTGCCTTGGTTTTCAAACGTTTCGGAAGTCGAACGGACTTCTGGAACAGATTACGTTCGAGAACCAAGGTACCACTGTATGTCTTAAATGTACTGGTATCTTGATATATGGTGGGAAAGCGTATGGAATTTACATCCAGAGAGGAATGTGCAAATCCCCTTTGAGAAATTTTGTTGCTCCTATTTAAATTGTTTTCCTGGTTTCACTTGGATGTTGTGCCTGTGGCGGAATCTCTGAATTCGCTTCCAGTGTGACTTCATGGAAATACAATTACAACCTAGGACATTGGAAATCACTATCTCTCTCACACAGCATCACAAAGGTTGGCTCTCATTGCACAGCAAGCAACGTTGTGTCATTAGCTGCTGAATCCTAGACAAGAGGGATATACCTCCTTCCTGTTTCCCTTTGTTAATTAGCCATAATTTCAACAGCAGTCTATATTTTGCCTGATCATCCCTGAGTAATGTTAGAGTTTTGTCACACCACTCTTCTGGATGGTAGTAGTTCTTGCTCAGCCCTCCCACTCCTGCCCAACCAAATGTTGTTTCTTTCATCAAAACTCTGTGCCCTTCTCTGCAAACTGGCTAACACATACTCCTTCCGCAGAACAGCTATTCTTCTCTACCAGCAGCAGAACACTCTTCCTACCAATTTCACAGAAAACAAAACTTTTGTTCTATTGCTGCATCAGTTCCTGACCAGCCAGCACTACCAACATCTTTTTATTATTACTAGTGGTAGTAATAAAGGGGGGGGGAGGACTTGGGTAACTACCAACTGATGAGCTTGGCATTGATACCAAGAAATGTCCTAGAACAGATAATTTGGTATGTCTGTGAACACTTGGAAAAGGATACTATGATTACTAAGACCCAACATGTATTTCTCAAAAACAAGTCATGCCAGACAAACCTCTCTCTTTTATATATATAGAGAGAGAGTTACAAGCTTGGTGGATCAGGGGAATGCTGTGGGCATAGTGTATCTTGATTTCATAAGGCTTTTGAGAAAGTCCCCCCTCATATTCTTGTGAGGAAGCTGGTAAAATGCAGGTTGGACGAGGTAACTGTTAGGTGGATTTGTGGCCACCTAATAAGATCAAAGGGACGCGGGTGGCGCTGTGGGTAAAACCTCAGCGCCTAGGGCTTGCCGATCGCATGGTCGGCGGTTCGAATCCCCGCAGCGGGGTGAGCTCCCGTTGCTCGGTCCCAGCTCCTGCCCACCTAGCAGTTCGAAAGCACCCTTAAGTGCAAGTAGATAAATAGGTACCGCTTTATAGCGGGAAGGTAAACGGTGTTTCCGTGTGCTGCGCTGGTGCCGGCTCACCAGAGCAGCTTCGTCACGCTGGCCACGTGACCCGGAAGTGTCTCCGGACAGCGCTGGCCCCCGGCCTCTTAAGTGAGATGGGCGCACAACCCTAGAGTCGGACACGACTGGCCCGTACGGGCAGGGGTACCTTTACCTTTGTACCTAATAAGATCAAAAGTCAGAAAATCAAGCCTTATGAGGAATGCTTGAAGGAGCTAGGTATGTTTCACCTGGAAAAGAGGAGTTCAAATATTTGAATGGTTGTCACATGGAAGATGGAGCAAACTTGTTTTTTCCTGCTCTGGAGGGTAGGATAGCTTCAATAGCTTCAAGTTACAAGAAATAGCTTCAAGTTACAAGAAAGGAGATTCCGACTAAACCTCAGGAAGAACTTTCTGACAGTAAGAGCTGTTCAACAGTCATTGGAGGTTTGTAAGTTGGATGGCCATCTGCCATGCATGCTTTAGTTGAGATTCCTGCATTTCAGAGGGTTGGACTAGATTACCCTTGGGGTCCCTTCCAACTCTAAAATTCTATGATTCTATAGTAGTAGCAGAAATTATTTGTCGCTTTCCACAAATAAGCCTCAAATCCATAAAACACACGAAACTTTTCATCATCATAAAAAGGTGCCCCAGAAGGTAATCTAAACTAC